TCTTCTCTTCTCATGAGGTGGCCAAAATATTGGAGCCTCAGCTTCAGGATCTGTCCTTCCAGTGAGCACTCAGGGCTGATTTCCTTAAGAATGGATAGGTTTGATCTTCTTGCAGTCCATGGGACTCTCCAGAGTCTCCTCCAGCACCAGAATTCAAAAGTATTGATTCTTCGGCGATCAGCCTTCTTTATGGTCCAGCTCTCACTTCCATACATCACTACTGGGAAAACCATAGCTTTAACTATATGGACCTTTGTTGGCAAGGTGATGTCTCTGCTTTTTAAGATCCTGTCTAGGTTTGTCATTGCCAAGAGAGGATAATCATCATTTATACCATTTGATTGTAAAAATGACAACAACAAAAACCAACCTCAAAGTCAGTTTGTCAGTTTCCCATCGGTACCTGGTAGGTCACTGTTGAAGACTAGAAGTCTTCTGCAACAACAAATCTCATCAACCAGGGACCACGCTGGCTGGACCTGATGTTGTGGAGGACCACAACATCTGGAAAATACCAGGTTGGTGAAAGTTTCTGAGTTCTTACAATCCTATACAGTTGTTTTTTTCCTCCTGCCATTGTATTTTATTTTACTTGTTTTTATTTAACATACTGTATTTACACATCACCCTTCCTGAGAATAGATTCCAGGGCAGTTTGCAATAATTGAAAGTACAGAGTTAGATGTTAAAAGAATTATATGAATTAAGTTGTACAAATTAGGTAAATGTTGTTGTTGTTTAGTCGTTTAGTCGTGCCCGACTCTTCGTGACCCCATGGACCAGAGCACGCAAGGCACTCCTGTCTTCCACTGCCTCCCGCAGTTTGGTCAAACTCATGCTGGTAGCTTCGAGAACACTATCCAACCATCTCATCCTCTGTCGTCCCCTTCTCCTTGTGCCCTCCATCTTTCCCAACACCAGGGTCTTTTCCAGGGAGTTTTCTCTTCTCATGAGGTGGCCAAAGTTTTGGAGTCTGAGGTACAAATTAGGTAAATATTGGGCTGCAAATGTTGGATTACAGTAAATGCATTTTATTTAGTACATTTCCATCCTGCTTTTCTTCCACCAGAGAGGCATGCAACCTCCTGTTCAGGCGCAGGCTGGAAAAAAACTAATTTGTTCTATGTGGTTGCAAATGGTAATCTGAATCCCGCTTTGCATTTTGTTGGTGGCAGACGGCAGATTGCCCAAAGTAATGTTCCTTTCAGGTGTTCTCCTTTAGCATAGATAAAACAGAGCCCAAATCAGCAACCCCTCTAGTGCAAATTAGGCTAAATATCAAAGAATACATCAAAAGAAAACTTTGCACTGCCTGATCTTCTTTCCAATGAAGCCGCCATTACACTCAGATTATAGGAGGGATTTCCAAACGGCGTGCTGTGTGAGGTCTGCTAATATGCTGCAAGAAGTAAATTATATGATTAAAGGTTCCTCTGGGCCCCAGGTCCTAATAGAGGAGGGTGCCCACAGCATCTCTGCATGATTAATTGCTCTGGCCTTGCCTGCTCTCAGTCAGCCTCTGCTGAGGGCAGCTAATTCTGCTGTACCTTTCCTGCAGGTGTGATGGAATCATGTAATTACTCCCTTGCAGAGACGTAACAGCATTACCTGTCCTCAGAGGAGAGACTTTGCATGCGTCTACACTGTGGGCATGTCTCTCAGACAGAAGCCACACCCACAACAGTGACTCGTGCAGACACAATAAGGATGGGCTGCTGTCCAGGTAGGTACTTCTTGCTGTTACACATTGCTAAAGGGGGTAAAAAGGTAAAGGGACCCCTGACCATTAGGTCCAGTTGTGACTGACTCTGGGGTTGCGGCGCTGATCTCGCTTTATTGGCCGAGGGAGCCACCGTACAGCTTCCGGGTCATGGGGCCAGCATGACTGAGCCGCTTCTGGCGAACCAGAGCAGCGCACGGAAACGCCATTGACCTTCCCGCCAGAGCGGTACCTATTTATCTACTTGTATTTTGATGTGCTTTTGAACTGCTAGGTTGGCAGGAGCAGGGACCGAGCAACAGGAGCTCACCCTGCCACGGGGATTCGAACCGCCGACCTTCTGATTAGCAAGTCCTAGGCTCTGTGGTTTAACCCACAGCACCACCCGCGTCCTCTAAAGGGGGTACCAGTCCCATAATTCCAGGGGAAAGCCTCAGAAGCTTTGGGAAATTTGGCCTAGAGAACTGGAACATAAGAACCAGGCAGGAATAATTTCAGGCCTGAGGAATCTCTCAGCAAAGTGGACCTCTCCTAAGTTGGTGGGCTTACCTGTCAGGGGAGGTAGAGACGCTGGCACCACCAGACGCCATTTAAATTTCCCATAATGCCCCAGTGTGATACCAAACTCTCCAACATTTTTCTGATGAAAATATGGACATCCTATTCAATAATAATAATAATAATAATAATAATAATAATAATAATTTTATTTATATCCTGCCCATCTGACTGGGTTGCCCCAGCCCCTCTGGATAGCTTCCAAAACATAAAAAAATGTAATAAAACATTAATCCTTTAAAAAACACACATCCCTATACAGGTTACTTATCTCCTTGACCAGGGGGTCGCATAACTCTATGCCCACCAACATGTCTACGATGAAAATAGGGGTGTCCTAAGGAAGAGTGGGACATTCCAGGATCAAATCAGAAACTGGAACGGCTTCTGTAAATCCAGGGTGGTCCCTGGAAAATAGGGGCACTTGGAGGGTCTGTGACAGTATTTTACTAAAAGGGAGCAGAGAAAACACCAGTGGTTGTCCCTTCGAGAGAAGTGGGATCCTGGCAGTTGCACAAGGAACTAAGGATTTGATTATATGCTGCATGTAGCTGCTGGAGAAGACACTCTTAGTCCATTCCAAGGGTGGGGTTTTTTCGTGTTTTTTGTTTTTTGCTCTCTCACCTACCTTTCCTCCGGACGGCTTTTCAAGGACAATAAGTAATGAAAACAACTGATCTCTCACGCTGCTGGGCTGGGGGTGGGAGGCCATCTCATAATACCCAAGACTTCACATTAATATCGCCCTGTTAACTTTTCTAAGGACCCAAATCTTCCTATAATAAATATCCTTCGCGGTGACAGGTAAAGCTCAAGTCACACACTGCCTTTGAAGTTTTAATGGCCACTCCAGCATCTCGATAAAGCTACTCAGCCTTTTCGTTGGTAGTAATTTTGCAAAGCCCGAAGCGGTGCGAGTCATCTTTACTGTTCAGCTCCCAAGGACGGAGATCTCATAAAACGCTGGGCTTCAAAGAGGCTGCTCCTTTCCTTGCCCCTTTTAAAAAGGAAATTCCTTCTATGTTCTACACGGAGTCTACACAATTTAACACACGCTTCCCATATTTCGCCCTGCTCTTCGAGCCATCGTAAGTGTCAGCCTCTACTTAGCCAGCCAGCCACGGTCCTGGCAGTTAAAAGGGTTGCTTTTGCCTTTCTTTCTTTTTCCTGGCAGGAATCCAACCTTCAACACCCCTCTAAAATGCTTGGGGTAGAATTATCTGCCTTTTACCAAGTTATTTTTTAATTAGTTCAGGGGTGCCATGGCAACTTGGACAGGGATCTATCTGTTCTAGGAATCACTACTCTTTATGACTGTCATCTACAGCCCATTTACTTTATGGGATCCCTGCTTGCCCTGCTCTGAACGTTTTCATAACTGGAGCAAGGTCAGAGAATGAGAGAGATAGGGGCTTGCTTGCAAACACAGGTAAGTGTCTTTCAAGCAAGTTGACATTCTGTTAGGTGAGCTCCTGTGCATTTAAGGATGCGGCAAGAAGAAAGGCAGAGGCAGTGAGGTCCTCTCGCTGCTCAGGCCAGGGAGGAAGTCTCAAAGAGGAAGTCATTATGGGGTGGGGGTCAAGGATTATCAGCTGACCTGACCTATAGGTGCACCGTGGCTTCCTTGTCTGATGTGAGCAGTCTCCCTCCAGGTTCCCACACAGGCTGGATAAAGTACCGCCAGTTCAAGACCTTGTCTTCCTCACACATTCCTTGGGTAGTGTCTTCACCTTCTGAGGTGGAGCCCTGACTGACCCACATTGTTAATTAACTGAAAGAGGCAAAGAGAGGTTTATATCTGCCAAGTGTTGGTTTATGTTTTGCACTGAGCACCATAATGACTTTTAGAAGACATCTGAAGGCAGCCCTGTTTAGGGACGTTTTTAATGTTTGTTGCTTTATCGTGTTTTTAATATTCTGTTGGGAACTGCCCAGAGCAGGGTAGAAACAATAAATTATTATTATTATTATTATTTATTATTAATTATCAGTCGTACCTTGGAAGATGAACAGAATCCGTTCCGGAAGTCTGTTGACTTCCAAAGTGTTCAGAAAGCAAAGCGCGGCTTTTAATCGGGTGCAGGAAGCTCCTGCAGCCAATCAGAAGCCAAGGAAGCCCTGTCGGACATTAGGCTTCCAAAAATAGTTTGCACACCGGAACAGTCACTTCCGGATTTGCGGCATTCGGGAGCCAAAACGTTCAACAACTAAGCAGCTCAACTAAGGAAGGCTGGAGATGTGCATGAGAAACGCACCTCCCCCCCGGTCATGATTCCAGACTTTCTGTTACCCACACTGCCCAGTGCACATGTGAAACATCTCATCTCTTAATCATGGCTAAGAAATTGGGAACAAGAGATTGGGAGTGCGTGCTCCCTGCCTCTTTTCTCGTCTCCTGCGCAAAATCTTCCCTACTTGTCCTTGTTAGCCTTAACCATGGCTGAGCATCACATCATCAGTGTCAGAATATGACCTGTGAGCAATGTGCACTCCGACAGCCATGATTAAAAGGCCTTTAGGGAGGACAGTACTGAACAGAACTAATCAGCTGCAATGAAGCCGGAGTTAATCATGGCCAAGGGGCTCTGAAAGAAACAGAATGGGACTAACTAAATTCTTACAGGTTGCCGTCAAGTAACCCTTACTCAGAGTAAGTAGACCCCTCAAAAATTAACAGACCTAAGCTAGTCATGGCGATTAAATTTCAATACGTCTAACAGAATTCAGGATAGCTCAGTCGGTAGAGCATGAGACTGTTCATCTCAGGGTCATGTGTTCGAGTTCTACCTAGGGCAAAACATTGCAGGGGGTTCTTTGTGGTTCCTTCCAACTCTATGATTCTACACACTGCCCAAGCTTGTGCCCCAGAGAGGTCATTTCGGGATCGCTAACGCAGCAAAAACAATGCAGCAGTTACGAGTTGTTATTATTACTACTACTATTACTATTAGCTAGGCATGGCCAAACTCGGCCCTCCAGATTTTTTGGGACTACAGTTCCCATCATCCCTAGCTAACAGGACCAGTGGTCAGGGGTGATGGGAACTGTAGTCCCAAAAAATCCGGAGGGCCGAGTTTGGCCATGCCTGCTATTAGCGGTCTCTGCAGCCACTGCAGGTGCTGTGATTCTCCGGTGGTTTGACCCCCCCCTCACTCCCCTGCCTGGAGGTGCACTCTATCGTCTCTTGAGACAGACAAATGCCAACAATTCTCAACAAGTCAGTTTAAATGCCATGGGGTGGTGAATTGGTTTGTATTTAATCACAGCTCGCTTCGGTCTGGACTGTGTCCTTTGGCTTTTTATATCTGGTAGGCCGGTGCTTCCGAAATGTCTGCTAGCTGACACACTGTTTATTTTTGAATTAAAGTGGGGGTTTTACCTTTAGAATGAGCAAGAGTGGAGAATTATCTGTACATGGCGGAGCTCGCCCCTTGTTCTCCTGTGCAAGTCAAGATGGGAAGAGTGAGTCACGCCAAGACACAAAAGGGAGCCTCCTCTGAAGGGTGAGACACAGACACGTGACAGAATTATCTGCCCCCCAGATGGTGTGACTGGACTGAAGCAAGGGCAGAACAGTGAATCATGCAGAGAGGGGCAGGCAGCTTTCTCTGAGGGTGCGTATTTTGGGCTTGCAGGATCCTTCAGTGGCTTACGTTAAGGTTGCCATATTTCAAAAAGTGAAAATCCCAAAGCAAAAGATGTTGAGCTCCAAAAATCTCCAATTTTTCCAGGAAAACGACACTTCTGACGTGGACTGCCATGCTTCCAGACATTTCTACATTTTTGACGGATGAATCCCAGTTTATGTGCTTCATCGTGGCACACATTTGGGGAATTGTGGCTCTAAGCGTACTGAGCATGCTCACAAAATCTCACCACAGCGAGGGGAACTCATGAGAGCCCTTGGTGTAAGAGACATTAAAGCCCAGTTTCAAAGCATATATGGAACAGGTTTGGGGGCTACACAGTTGTCAGGCATTGCCTTAAACCATAAGGGCGTGCGTAGCCCCTTTCAGCTTAAACGAAATAACATTTGGAATCACTGTGACTAATGTATTTGCAGATGGTACAAGCTGACACCATTTGATAATCAGGTTTCTCTCGTCTTTATGAGGATTTGCTTCTTTGAGGTTACTGAAAAGCCCTTTTATATCACAGAAATTAGCTGAAACGTCCGGAGGCATGGTATGTACCCTTCAAAATGCTCACATTTCACTTGATTGCTGCTGTTAATATTTCAAAGATGAAGTAAATCTTCTCCCCCCCTCAGGGCATTTTAGCATGTGTGAACTTTTTGCAAGGACGAGTGGATCTCAGTTCCATCTTCATAACAGAAAGGCTGGGAGGGGGGGCGCGCACGAAGCATTGATATACCCACCAGAGTGTGGAAAATGATAACCATATGGGGAAAGACTTTTACTTACGTTCAATTTAATATTCTGAAGAGACTGAACTAAATGTGTCATTTCATGTAATGTACACTCTTTAAAAATGCAAATAGCATGCAAGGGTGGGGGGTTGATAATTATAGGGGTTGAAGCAGGTGGGTGGGAGGAGCTTAACCTTCTCCTCCCTTGATGGACAAAATTTGAGGAGGAAAGGACTAAAGTTCTCCTCTCAGACTTTTACAATCCCCAATAATTAACCCTCCCTCCCCCCTCTCTCCAGAAGCTGCTATTTGCATATTTTAAAAAAAATGCATCCTAAGTGCAAACATGCATATGATGTCTAGTTTGTCTCAGTGCCTGCAGCAAAATACAGCCAAAGGGAAGCACTTTTACAATCCATTGACTTCAAGGGGAGACAGCTAAGCATAGGTTTGGTTCACCTGTTTGCTCCTTTGCAGCCACGGCTTTGATATTGGCTGAGGGGTTGGGAGATCCCCCATTGAGAGCCAGTGTGGTGTAGTGGTTAAGAGCGGTAATCTCGTAATCTGGGGAACCGGGTTCGCTTCCCCGCTCCTCCACATGGCAGCTGCTGGGTGATCTTGGGCTAGTCACACTTCTCTGAAGTCTCTCAGCCCCACTCACCTCACAAAGTGTTTGTTGTGGGGGAGGAAGGGAAAGGAGAATGTGAGCCGCTTTGAGACTCCTTCGGGTAGTGATAAAGCAGGATATCAAATCCAAACTCTTCTTCTTCTTCCCGATCTCCTGAATTCAATGGGATGCCCGTGTTTTAACTTTGGCCGAAGTGGATTTATTTATCCTGCAGAGGATTTGCTGCCTTATCTGTTATTCTGGGCGCATTTAAGCTACAATCTTTTATGCACTGAAGGAAAGAATGCTCAGGATTGCACTGTGAGGAGTAAGAACTTTTGACCAAATGTTGGAGAAAGCGAAGGCCACCCACAAAAACAGCAGCAGCCCACGTACTTTTACTATCACTGAATCCTTCAAACATACATGCAGAGCTGATTTGAATTACCTTGTAGTCCTAGAGGATTTATTTTTATTTTTTTGCCAGCCCCGTAAACCCCTCAGCTTGCTGTTTCTGTGAGGTGGGAGCAACTGTGGTGGTTTCTGCTTTCACGGGTTCATACAAACAGGCTCTGCAGCTGGGAAACCTGCTGGTAAAGAATACACTCGAGCCCACCCCTAAAACCTTGGCCATCAGGGACTGGGGTCAGAAGCAGCGCTTCCTACTGCCTTTTCTCTGCTCTTTATAAGTGAATGGACACTTTCACTCTGTTTACTCGTGTGGGTCATGGGGAAAGAGCTGCAACTGGAAAAATCCAGGACACACCTGCACCTTTCACTCAGACCCTTCTTTTCGGGGGTGGAGAGAAGGCAATAGTGCTTCTCCTTGCAAGTCCCCCTAATTATCCTGGAGCCCGCAGAATCCTCATGCAGCCATGGTACTGCTTATTGGGTCACCCTACTCCTGTGGGTTAAACCACAGAGCCTAGGACTTGCCGATCAGAAGGTCGGATGTTCGAATCCCCGTGATGGGGTGAGCTCCCGTTGCTCTGTCCCAACTCCTGCCAACCTAGCAGTTCGAAAGCATGAAGTGCAAGTAGATAAATAGGTACCACTCTGGTGGGAAGGTAAATGGCGTTTCCGTGCGCTGCTCTGGTTCGCCAGAAGCGGCTTAGTCATGCTGGCCACATGACCTGGAAGCTGTACGCCGGCTCCCTCGGCCAATAAAGCAAGATGAGCGCCGCAACCCCAGAGTTGTCCACGACTGGACCTAATGGTCAGTGGTCCCTTTACCTTGACTCCTGCATAACAACTGGGAATTTAAGGCCATTGTCTATGTACCCCAACATGCCATTTCCAGAAGTGGTCAGTAGGCTGCCACCAGGAAAGTCCACAGGCAGATATCAAGGCAGCAACCCTTCTCTGCTGTTTGGCCCTCGCCCGCTGGAGCCTTGCTGCTTCTGAGCCATGGCTAGTAGCATTTGATACATATAATTATACATATAGAGTCTAAGCATTGCTTAATGCCAGGGGCCATTGCAACATCCTACAGTAGCTGATTCCATAAGTTAGTAGGCTATGCATTGTGTGAAGAAGTACTTTATTTCACGTCACCTCACCTAAATATTGTCATTTCCCACAAACTGGTGAAAATGGCCCATTCCTGCTTTTGTTTCCAGTAACAGGAATATATAGAGAAGTTTTTCGTGTTTGATGTTTTATTGCGTTTTTAATATTCTGTTCGGAGCCACACAGTGATTTGGGGCAAGTCAGTCAGGTGGGCAGCATATAAATAATAAAATTATTGTTACTTATTACTCCACCCCTGCATCCATGTTGTGTGTGTGTACACCTAAAATCACAGACCTGAGGGTCATCTAGTCCAATGCCCTGCAATGCAGAAATCTTGACTAAAGCATCCATGACATACGGCCAACCTCTTGTTAAAAAACCTCCAAGGAAGAAGAGTCCACCACCTTCTGAGGGAGCCCATTCCACGGCCAAACAATTATTACTGTCAGAAAGTTCTTCCTGTTTAGTTGGAATCTCCTTTCTTGTAACTTGAACCCATTGGTTTGGGTCAGGGGGTGGCAAACTGAGGCCCGCGGGCCAGATCAGGCCCAATTGCCTTCAGGATCCAGCCCACAGACTGTCCGTGGATCGGCGTGGGGATTCTGTTTGTTCGTACTGCGCCGTTTCCCCCCCTGCGCCATTCCATTCCCCCCCCTCCATTACACACACTGCGGTGGTGCCTCCTTCCTCCCTCCTCCTGGCTTCTCCCCGCCCTGCCTAGAGGAGGAAGGGGGTTGGGCTGGGCTGAGTGCCATTTTAAGCAGCCCCTCTCTGGAGCCAGCCCTTTCATGTCGCTCATCTTCCCTCCGCCGCCCTGGTGCTCCTCTGCCTACCCACAAGCAGCAGCAGCGGTGGTGGTGGTGGCAGCCCCAGGAAATGTAAGCATAGCAGCTGGGGCTGGGGAGGACTACTTTCCCCCCTCGCCTCGTTTTCCAGCTCCACCCGCCCCCGGTGCCACTTCTCCAGCCCGCCACAAGTTCTGAGGGACAGTGGATGGGCCCGCGGCTAAAAAAAATTGCCGACCCCTGGTTTGGGTCTTGCCGCCCTGGAGCAGGAGAAAACAAGCTTGCTCCATCTTCCATGTGACAGCCCTTTAGATATTTGAATCGTATCTCCTCAGTCTCCTTTTCCAGGCTAGACACACCCAACTCCCTCAACCATTCCTCATAAGGCTTGGTTTCCAGACCCTCAATACCTTCTGCTGGAAACATAAGCTGGGGAATTCATAGGCAGCCTCTTATAGCTTCCATGTGTGCAGGATTCATGACAAAAGCCAAAAATCAAGTATGAATCTTGGCCAGTCTCTCTCTCTCTGGTCAAGAGATGAAGTTTGTGTTGCTCTAATAACTGTTCCATTTCCACTAACATTTAGGAGAATCAGATGGTTGTTTTCCTGATGCGTTAAAGCAGCCGAGATTTGGGAGCCGCCCGCTCTTTAGATGATAAAACCTATCTGGAAATGTCCCACTAGAGCTTTCCAAGAGAATGTATTAAAAACAAGCCAGAGCCCTTTACAGCATTCCTGAAAATGGAAAAATCCTTCATCTCTCTGAGGATCACATTAAAACAACTGTTGGAAGGCCTGTTAAATATGAAAGAGCCGGAATCCCGTGACTCCACGCTGCCTCGGCGTATGGGAACCCCCCCGGACATGGTGTACCCTCTGCGGGTTGAGGAAAACTCAAGCTGTGTGGAATCCATGCCTGAAATGTACGATTTGATCCACCTTTAGCAGAGCATTCCTATACGGAATGAATGGAAGCCTGACCCACAGTCATTGTACTGTATGCGTTTGTGGAGAGTCAAGTGAGCAAATGGAGAGGCGGAGTTTAAGACGTCAGGGGGATGACTGCATTTAGTTAACATCCCTCACTCTTGCACCTGTTGCTTATCGTCGAGGCGGTTTGCCAATCTGCAGGTGGTGCTCCAGACCCAAAATCTCCAGTATTATTAACAAACTGAGCAGGCATATCTTAGCAGCACTATAAAACATGGAGCCAGGATACTTTCTGGAAATACCTTCTCCCACATGATCTGAAAATTCCTGGGTTAAAGTTGAGATGTCCTTGGTCAAATTCCATTTACTTGAAATATTAAATCCATGGGAATGTAATACTGGACGTATTTCAACAGAATTGTGGAACTCTACCTCGGGGGCAGTCCAGCCAAGCTAAACTCCCTCTGTTCGGAAGCTGCTAATTTCAGAGATGGCCCTTGACCGGGCCTAGAGCAGAAACTTAGAGAGAGATGCAGGAAGTAGCCATCTTTCTGAGAACACACAACTCCCATCTTCCCTGGCCATTGATCATGTTTGCTGAAGTTGATGGAATTGTAATTCAGCAGCACCTGAGGAGCCAAAGGTCCATAATATCTAGTGTCTGCATCACTGAGGTTGATGGAGCTATAAGCCTAAAGAAAATCCAGTCCGGAATAATAAAACATGCAGAGAGGTGGGCTCACAATAATTTTCTATTATTTTTTATGTGTACCCCAACAATTTGAAAATTAAAATTAAGACAGGTTTTTAAAAATCAGGAGATCTGTTCTTGACACACACAAAGAAATGCTTTTAGGCACTTTTTATTTTCAAAAAAAAAGGGGGTCATATATATATATATATATAAAGCATCTCATTCTCTTTCAGTAACGATACAGCTGTTTGCTTGATCATTTGCATAGGATATATCGCCATACAAAAATAAGGACAGGGAGTGGGGCAGAGTAGCAGGGGAAGAGCAGCAAAACAATATGCTTGTGTTTTTCTTTTCCAGGATTAAACATCTGAAGCCTTACAAAAAAAATATGTACATCTTTTCCCATCATCTATTTACAATTAAGAGCAATGCTTTTTTTTTTTTTAGAAAAAAGCTATAAACAACTTTAATTTATCAAGTTTGTGGAAAATTTTCTAAAAAAAAAAAATCTCTACCATATACCACAAAAATAAATAAAAGACGCAAACAATAGTCTGAACAAAGTTTTGCTTCGAGGCCTTTCTCCCCTCCCCCCCCCCTTTTTTGGCATGTTGATTAGTTAACTTTACTTTCTACCCTTTGGTTGACAGCATGACATTGCAGCTCAGTGGCTGTGATGCACAGAAGCCCCAAAAGCCCAGGCAAGGGCTTCTGAGCCCACGCTGGGGTGTCTCACCTCGTGCCAAAGGCAGCGCTGTGCACAACTTCAGAACCCTCTACCCTCGGATCTTGGGCTCCAAGACATGCACAATGGGAAAGAACAAGGAAATAGGCTAAAAACTTATTAAAAACAAACCGGAGTTTCTAAAGCAGCTTGTTAATTAGCTGTTAGGAAGGGGGAAAGGCTCAGAACTCTGCTGCAAAGGAAAGCTTGCCTCGCAAATCACCTCCCCATGTAACTGAATTACTTATGGTGCAATCTGACCGTATCCTACAACTTAATCTCCTCCTCTGTTGCCCGGAGTCCAGCATTAAGGACCTGGTTGGCAATGAAGGATAAGGCTCGGAATAATTTGTGGTTTTCTGGGGAAACCTGGAAGTGTATCAGGGGCTCAATCAGGGTGAAGATCTGTCGTGGTCAACAAGCTTCCTTAGAAGGCAGCTCATCTGATCATTACTAATCTTCCCTTGGGAAACACAAGGAGTATTGGCGGTGCTTCAGGGCATTCAGAATTCACTTGAGCAACCAAGAGGCCAGGACAACACTCCATGTAAATTGGCTATGATCCCTAAACTATGCCCCAGGCTCTGCAGTGGAACAGCAGGGCTTCTTCAGCTGAGAAGTCAATGTGGCAAAGGTTCCCTGATTGCCGAGGTCCACATCTCTCCATCGTTCCTGCCAAAACACAAGTGGCTCAGATTCTGCCAAGCATACTCTCCAACACCCAAGCTGGCCGTGCCACATCTGCACAACTTAGCAGTGAACCTCAATCTGGTGTCAAGTGGAGAACTGATGGAACTGAACAAGAAAAAGAAATGTTCCAACAGCGTGTCTCCAAGGGAAATAATTTAACACATTCTCCTGTTTTAAGAAAGCACTCCCGAGTACTGCTTCTTTCAAAAGTGTTGCCTAAGATGTCCAGCAGGAATATAGGTTGGTCAAACAGGACTATGCACTGAATAGGCCAACCTGTTGACAGGTGGGGTTAGGGAAGATGGAAAGCACATGAGAGAGAGATTTGCCCTTCCTAAAGAGACTAGAGTGGCCATACTAATAACAGCAAGTTCTGGTGTATATTATGATTTACTCAGTTTATATCAGGCATAGGCAAACTTGGCCCTCCAGATGTTTTGAGACTACCATTCCCATCATCCCTGACCACTGGGTCCTGTTAGGTAGGGATGGTGGGAGTTGTAGTCCCAAAACATCTGGAGGGCTGAGTTTGCCTATGCCTGCTTTATATCCTGCCCTTTCTCCTGAGCAAGAGGTGGCACAGCAAGAATTCATACAGGATTTGTCTATATAAACAAGGACCTGAATAGCAATCTCAGCTACAATCTAATAAAGATTTTAGGTCTCAGATTCCAGGAAGAGACCTCAGCTGCAACTCTACATTCACTTGGGAGTAAGCCCCACAGAATGTAACAGAACCTACTTCCAAGTAACTATACATAAGCACTGTTAAGAGCACACTGTTAAGAGCACACATTACTTTGTCCCACTGAAGCCAATTAGACCTGGAAGTGCTTAGCTTTTGTCAGGATTCAACCCATTATAATGCCTGAGGCAGCAGTCTTCAAAGCTAAGGTGTAAGAAGTAAATAAACAGAGTGGGACTTATTTGCAAGCAAACATGCACAGAATTTTTCCATGGTGCACAGTTTACTCTTGTGTATCTAACTGTCTTGTGCTGCTTGCTAGTACTATTTCCATTACTGCCTCTGAAACAGATTAACCTGCGAAATTTTATGTTGAATTAAAATTAAGTTTGAAAGGCCACCACTTGATTATTATTTTTTAAGCGGAACTAGTCACAGATCATTTTCTGAAACCCATGAGAATGGACAGAACCATTACTCTTGAAGACAGAACACCGTTGAAAGTTAACACCCCAGACTTTCTTTTTCCTGTTCGGTTCCGACATTCAAAATTCACCCTCTTTTGTGGTTCAACTCGTCTTGCCTTCATTGTCATTCTGATCTAGGTGGTAAGATGGTGGAGCCGTTGGTGTGGTGAGATGCTAGGCAGAAAAGGGAATTTCAGCAGTGAGGGCCCGTCGCTCAAAGGGCCACAAAACACGGATTTTTTGCTCTAGGCAACAGCACTCCGACTGATAGTTCCTTCTCCTCAATTTAAAATGGGATGAGGTTTGAGTACGAGCAGAAACGCTGCCACCTCCACTCTCATCCTGTCCTCAGCTATGGTATATTGAGCTAGATTCCAGCAGCAGAGAACATTCCCTCTCAGTGTTAGAACTCCACAATTTTACAAAATGTGTTTATGCTTTAATAAGAAAGGGATGCTTGTTTTTTTTGGGGGGGGGATTACAGCATCGTTTACATTTTAACTAGCAAACTTTGGTGGGGGAGAAACTGCAGTATCCTTTGCGAAAGCTACAAGTCGTGTCCCAGCCGCTGCCGTCCCCCAGATCCCTATTACATAGACAAATACACAGAAAGTTTCAGTACACATTATCACTAGCTGCACCGGGAATGCCACACACAAACAGGTGGTGTGCATTTGATACCAGAACCTGAGCTGGGCCTGGACATATAGATCAAACAGGCTACAAACCACACCAACATCAGATTCCCACAGACCCCTTTCCATTCTCCAGACAGCTGATCAATGCAGCTTGTTTGAAAGGGCTACATGCACACTCAATACAGTTGAATCGGGGGCAAAAAAAAAAAAATCCACACAGAATTAGATTGTACTGGTGTTGAACCAGCTTAGTGTTTTGATATTCTAAACCCACATTCTAAACCCTTCTTTTTAAAGCAATATTAAGTTTAGCTTATAGTAAGAGGTTTAACATTATGTATCAGATCCACCCTTGTTATTTAAGCTCCTGGCAGTTGCTTAACAGTTCATATTTTGCAAATATTTTGTACTTGTAAAACATTTTAGGGGAGGAAGTGTGATCTGTTTTGAATTCTCAGTGCATCACATCTGTGTGAACAATAACAAAAGCGATTGGATGGCTAGCTCATTATGTGAAACCAAGGCGGCTAACTTTTTTTGAGAGGTATTTTAAAAAGATGGTTCAATTTTTAAATGTGCCATATTAAAACTGTCCGAAGTAAGATGGTTGCTACTTTTCCCAGCTGATTTCTAGAAAATCCTTTTGTAAGAAAACATTATAAGCTGATCTGCATATTTACAAAATCTTTGTCATAGCAAACATGCAACTTACAGAACATTTTGTTCTATGGCTATTTATGAATTTGTATGTATATATATATATATTTCATCTCCACAGAAAAAAAACTTTTTTATAAAATATAACAAGTAATAAAACATCCAGTAAAATTCTGACAGAAAATAAATGGTGGCTTGTCCTCTTAGATTCACTTAGCTGTAAATTAAATTAGTTTTCCTAAACACTGCTTACCAGAGCAAGAGTGTCTTGGTCAAGGCCCCAAAAACATAGATTCCAGAGTTTTTGAGACATAATACTTACATTTAGGGACACCTCGTCATGTTATATTTTGCAGATGTGAGCTGGGGCATTGCTATACAACATACTTTAATCAGCTCCATACCAATTAACTGTCATTGCTTTCCTGCAAGGAATAGTCTGATCTGTCACAGATTCCCCATCACAAAACAGTCCCCAAGAGTCCCCAGGAAAAAGGTTATGGGCATTATCAAATACCTGTGGTGCAGATACATCCATAGACACTTGTTTACATCCACAGACAAGAAGAGCTTGCCAGACTGCATTAGCTGTCTTTGTACTTTACAGTAAGCCATAAATCACAGCTTATCATGAATGAGCAGAGTCGTTGTGTGTGTTTGTTGACCACTCCTCAACTGGCACATGTGGGAACAACACAAACCTTGCTTACTGTGCCTCCTGAAGCTGGGACCATGGTTTGCAGGAACAAACCACGATTCTGGGTTTGGAAAACACGCTAAGCCATGGTTTGCGGTTTGTTTCTTCTGCTCACGCAAGCGGAGTAGTGAAGCAGCAGTAGCTGGGAAGCAGACATGGCCACATTGCTTGTTCACGGCTTACTGTGATGTATGAACATTAGTCGCCATGTGGTAAAACAGGTAACAGCAAAACCCTGGCTTCCCGACACATGTGTTTAGCCAAAATCTGGGAAATGGCTCCCATGACTGCACAGAAACCGCACGCTTGTACAACCTGTTCTGGCAAAATGTTTTTGCCTATGCATATATGAAACCGATTAATCCTATCTGCAAAATATATACCATGGTAGGGAGCCCTGAGATGACATCTGTGAGGGGCTGAAGTCAAATGCGTGAAGAGTAGGTCACGTGGCCGTAACATGGTGAAACCATCAGTATTGTGACACAGTGTCTTCCCTGTTTCCTCATAAATATACAAAATATACACTTCCAGTTTCTTTCACAATTTTTCCTCTTTTAAAAATGGAGAGCAGTTCATATGCAGTCAAAACACTTAAGCTAATTCTAACTGAACGTGTATATATACTTTAACCGAGTCACTAGGAAGTTGCATAGATACCAAGAGCCTCATGGAAAAGTCCAGCCTAGTTCTGATGTCTCTTCATGTGCAGAGCCAAGTGGTCAGACCGAGAAAAGCTGCGACTGCACACGGCACACTGGAAAGGTTTGGCCCCAGTGTGCTTTCTGTAGTGGCGGGTCAACTCGTCGGAGCGCGCAAATCTCCAGTCACATCCTTCCCATGTGCATTTGTATGGCTTCTCTCCTGGAAACAAGAAAAAGAAAAGCACACAAAAAATTAGTCACCACTCAGTCCAATACCACTAGCCAAATTCCAATCCATCTGACAAGGTCATAAATATAGCGAGCTAGCACATCAGCGAGAGAGCTACGGCAACCTGCTTCCTTATGTGTTAGGTTTCCAGGTGCTGGGATATATCTACGTGGCAGAGCAGTCAATAATCTGATGCTCCCACTTGCGGTGCAATGTGGGACGGTCCACTACTCTGTTTTGCACCGTGTGTGGATTGATGCTCAAGGCTCCTTTTGCAGCATGGGAGCTGCTGCAGTGCTCCCACTTCTCACATTGCTCGAGTCATATCAGAAGCCTCCAAGCTTGAAACTGGGACACCCCAAAAGTGTGAGAAAGAGAGGCAGCAAGGACTCCTCCTCCATGTTTGGGGACTTCTGGCATTCTTCAAGTAGCACAGGAAGGAAGCCTCAGCTTCCACACTACCAACCCACCCATAAATTTCTTGAAGTCCTCAAGTGGCTTTTCACAACTAGCCCTGTGCAATTATGAGTACATTGAGTCAGGCGGAGGGCAACAGAAGAACCACCCCGATGGATCAAACCAAAGGTCATAGAATAATAGAAGCATGGAGTTGGAAGGGACCCCAAGAATCATCTTGTGCAGGAAACGTCCTCGGTCCAGTAGACCTGAAGGAGCGTCTCCGCCCCCATTGTTCTGCCCTGTCACTGAGGTCCAGTGCCGAGGGCCTTCTGGTGGTTCCCTCGCTGCGAGAAGCCAACTTACAGGGAACCAGGCAGAGGGCCTTCTCGGTAGTGGCGCCCGCCATGTGGAACACCCTCCCACCAGATGTCAAAGAGAAAAACAACTACCAGACTTTTAGAAGGCATCTGAAGGCAGACCTGTTTAGGGAAGCTTTTAATGTTTAAGAGGTTATTGCATTTTAATATTCTGTTAGAAGCCGCCCAGAGTGGCTGGAGAAACCCAGCCAGATGGGCAGGGTATAAATAATAAAACTAATTACTTAATAATAATAATAATAATTAAACCTCTGCTTAAAAACCTATCAAGGAAGGAGAGTCCACAACCTCCGGAGGCAGACCGTTCCACTGTCAAACAGGTCTTACTTTTTCCAGATGTTTATGTCTATGCCAAGCAGCCAATGAAATGCCTACGACGAGGCTGCAATGCAAGGTATCATGGCAACAGTCCTCCTTTACTGGCTCTCACCATCTCTATCAAGACATATACAAATGTACACATGGAATGCCTCTACAGCCACCAATTTTTATTCATTTCATTGTCTCCTGTGTAGATGAGAGAGCCATGAGTGACAACAGGCTTCAAATCTCATCTTCACTACGGATTCTGTGAAAGCAACACGACACCTGAGAACCTGGGGTCCAGACGCCTTGAAGCTAACTCTTTCGCAGGGCTGCTTCAAAGGCAAGCAAGATTGTAAAAAAATGTGCTAAAACACTTCTTAGAAATATCTAGATGACAGTCTTATGACCTCAACATCAGGGGACAGGTGTACATTATTCCAGTTATGTATTCAGACACCAGAGATGTCCATCATACAGTTTAGCCCAAAATGTACACTAGAATTGCAGGCATCAACCCAGAAGAAAGTTTGTTTACTGAACATTTCAAGGAAGACAGAAGAGGAGGACGGAGGGAGGAGAGAAAGAACGAAAGACATTAAAAGACAAGTATTACCAAAAGAGAAGTACGCCTTCCAGAAAAGTAGACGTAAACACAAAGTCCACAATCCAGCTAAAATATGTTATGACCAAATCCAATTGAAACCAGTGAAACTAGTTTCATAAGCCCCATTGAAAGCAATGGGACTTAAGTTAGCTGCAACGTTTAAAAACTTGTTCCACCGGTTCAGTCACAGCAAATTCTAGCTGAATTGTGTGCTTTGCGTTTACATCCACTTTTCTGGCAGGTGTACTTCTCTCTTGGTATTGTGTAGAAAGAAAGGATGCGATGAAGTGGAACAAGGAGACCAGAATTTGTTTAACTAGGAACCAAGGAAAAGGGCACAAAAACTATGTACTCATTAGTCAAAGGAAGGCCTTTGTCTGTGGGACTTTTCAAAGCTTTTTCTTCCCTCCTGCAATCTAGCGACTTGTCTCAGGATGTGAAAAGCCAGATTCTCAAGCAAACCAGTTCTGGGCCTGATTTGACGCCCAAAACTTTTCCTGCAGCAATAGATTAGAAAGTGGGATTCATCCAGCCAAAGGATACTTTTAACAGGAAGACTCCGCTCCAAAATGTTTCTGATTGATGGCCTACTGTTAGCAATGCAAGTAGCCGGCTATTCTGAGGTGACAAGTACCTGCAATTCCCAGTGACTTCAACTGGCACGTATGATACTTAACACCTCCAAAATTTTGACCACAGATTTATGTAAGTGCCCAATATAGATTTAATTGCACGGCTTTACACAGTCCCTTTGGAACATGTTGTCGCAGATAGCTAAATATATGGCCATTTAATTTAGTACCCTAAGTGGGGTATTTTTAAGCACACCTATAAAATTTGTAACTATTTTTGTTGAAATTATGAGAAGAGTATTCATAGAAAGTTAGGCCAGGGGAAAAGATTTTTCCTCCTAAGTGTGAAGGAATCTGTTCCAGGGAAGTTTTATTTATGTGGCCAAACCTTAGTCATTCGAAGATCAGGATCATTTCTATAGCTTCTGTTGTACATTATACAAAAGTGAACAGAGATTGTGAAAGGCCTTTTCTACGATGCAATTATCATCTTAGGGTGTGATCTGACAGCAACCTACAGTGTTTCTCAAACTTCGAGTCTCCAGCTGCTGTTGGACTACAATTCCTATCATCCCTAGGCTAGCAGGACCAGTGGTCAGGGATGGGAGTTGTAGTCCAACCACCGCTGGAGACTCGAAGTTTGAGAAACACAGCAAGATCTGCCAAAGTGAGCGGGTTAGGATCCAGCAGATCTCTGGCTGTGCGGAAGGTTCCTGACACAGGTGGGCTATGCTGGCATAACTCCCTCATCCTCAACTCAGCGGGAGATATACCAGTTTATTCCACCCACCCTGTCACAGCCAGCACCCAGATGGCTGAGCTGAACAGGGAGGGTCTGAAGTGAACATAAGCCCGAAAAACGGGGTGTTTTGTGGATGGGATTGGGAATGGAGAGGAATAGGCTGGATCCTAAGTCTTGAATATGTGACCTGGTAACCCCGCGCAAGTTAAGCTGGCAAAAAGGATGGTGTAACTCAAACATTATTTCCAAGGTTCATTTCCCCTCTGCCAGGCTTGGACCAACTGAGACATCAGCTCTCGCCTTACACCAGCTTCTTGTGTGTAGGACTGATCCCTCGGGTTCTCACAACAGCACAGGGAACAATAAATCTCTGTGAAAGTGCGAGAATCACAAGACTGCCATTTTCCTCCAGCCAAATAACTGCCTCCACGCTGAAAACTAGCATGCGAAGGCAACAGGAAGGAGGCCAGGCTAACACCGGAGAGGGTGGATTTCCAAGTATGGGGAATGTTTTGGGAGAACTGTAGCCACAGAAAGGACAGCCCCAAAGTTCCCTACTTTTTAAGGGTAGACTCCTTCTTTGCCATCACTGGCTACACCCTGCGTTCCTCACACCAGATACAGGAGACAGAGGGAGGCAAGGGTGGGAGGAGGCGGCGAAAGAGGGAATGGATATGCGCAAATGCAGTTACATGTACGTACAGTGGTACCTCGGGCTACATACGCTTCAGGTTACATATGCTTCAGGTTACAGACTCCGCTAACCCAGAAATAGTGCTTCAGGTTAAGAACTTTGCTTCAGGATGAGAACAGAAATCATGCTCTGGCGGCGCAGCAGCAGGAGGAGGCCCCATTAGCTAAAGTGGTATTTCAGATTAAGAACAGTTTCAGGTTAAGTACAGACCTCTGGAACGAATTAAGTTCTTAACCCAAGGTACCACTGTACACACGTTAATCCAACTTTGGTCAGTGGGTCTTATTTCCATCTAACAGTGTTCAGGATTGCTGTCTTGCTTGGGGATGAAAAACTACAGGATAAAACCTCAATGCTTATAGAAAAGGTAGTTTATTTCTTTAGGGGTAGGAAACAGCAGGATGTGCATTGGACAAAGAAATGCTGTCGCCCTGATTTTCTCTGTCCTGGATGACTCAACTCAATTATTGTTCTTCAATATGGCGGCTGCTCACACTGGTGTCCTAGGACTATGAAACACTCGATGATTCGTTGGTGCTCCCACCATTCAGAGGCACAAGAGGAGTTTCTCTCATTCTTACGGTAGGAACATCAGAGAAGCCGCCAAACCGAGTTCAAACATTTGCATCCTCCACACAAAGACAACATGTTGCAATGTGAAATGCAATTCTCTATACGACGCAGCACAAAAATCTGAGGGCTTGAGCAAGATCGCCAATTAATATTCTGCAAGCAAATTACACCTCAGAGAAGCCACCAGAATTATGCAGCTGCTTTTGGACAAGGTGTTCTCCAGCATTTTCGGTGCTAGAACAGCATTTTCTCAAGCTGCCAGTAAGGGAGACACACTCTGAATTGTTAAAATCAAACCTTGTCAGGTTTGGGAGTTACATATGCCTCTGATTTTGAGTGGATAAGAAGGACTTTTCTTCAGAAAGGTCCAGCCTCTGTATCTGATTGTGACATTAATTACTACTACTACTACTACTACTACTATTCTGGATAGTCACGTGCAGGCCAGAATCCACCCCCACTCCCCCAAAAAACCACACAAAGGCTGAAAGCAGTGAATTGTCCATAGGACATCATGGGCGCTTTGATTCTTAGAAAGGAAGAACATGATTTGGGGATTACTGCACTAAAGCCACATAAATTACAAAGGCAGCTAATGTTGGCATGCCGTGCCAATAATTAAAACCTCCATTGCAGAATTACTTTTGCACCAAGTGGGGAAAAGAGCAGGAGTGTGTTTGTGAGCAGAGGCAACTGCAAAATGGTGTCCAACATGCGATGGAGAAGAGGGACTACAACACTGAACTACAAAATTCTAGACCTTTGAAAGCACTGTGGACCTCTGAGTATTGTTTTTAACTAGCCAGGGCTAGTTCTCACTGAGCTGCTCCACTTTAGAAAACAGGGGCAGGTTTGCAGAATTTAATGCTTCTTCATACAAGGAAATTCCCTCTAATGAGGAAACAACATGTTATGGAGAAGAGTTTTAGCCTTCTGGAAACCTGATTTGTCATCTAAGTGGATTCTTTTTCCATTTTTAGGAGGAGTTGGGGGGTGGACATTCCGTCCTAGGGCACCCTAGCCCAGACATGGGTTTTTCAGCTCAGTGAAAGGTGGGCCTTAAGTTTTTCTGAATTCTCACTTATATGGTGACCACAGAAACAAGATCCCAGGGCATTCTGATGACTCATAGCAACTGTTTGTTTATATGTATAAAAGAATATCTACATACAAGCCTGCTATACATATAAAACAAACAGTAATACAGTTTAAAGCCCGTATACAATACATATTGCCAGATAAGAGTAGGTACAGTATGCATTACTTGACTCATGTAAGTAACAGCGTTTTCCTAAAAGGAGGATGGAAAACACTATGAAAGATCAGGTGACTATTTAGGTAGGTGAAATGAAACATCTAAGAGCTTTTGAGAAAGAGCAGAAGAACATCACTCACATATCTGCACATACTTCTTGGCCATTTAGCCAAGAGAAAAATTTGACCCAAGTTCCACACACAAAAACTGCTTCAAGTTATTTTAAAACTTATTCCATTTCTTTGCTGTCCTGAGCTATAAGGGGCAGAGGAATCCGAGGTTAACAAGATTTGTTTGCTTAAAAAGCAGAGAGACACTGAACCCTTTATTCACTATTTTTATGGGTTACGCAGTAATGCAAGCCTAATGACTGCACAAAATACAGAAGCTGCAAAGTTTCAGAAAAATAGTTGATTCTTCTCCAGAAAATTTAGAATGAACATCGAGAGGCTGTGAAACCCAAGAATGCCATCAGTCATCAAATACAACCGTGCTGGAACATGGTCTCTGTATTAAAACAGCTATTTCACTGTAAAAAGGATTAAAAAAGAAAGAAAAAAGTCTCTAAAGTACCAGCAGAACTCCTCCACTTCAGAGCAGCTTCCACAGAATTTGTTAAAATGTCAACACTGCTCAACTAAAACAGCATGGAGGAAACTGGTACCAAGTTCTGGCGAAGCAGCAACACTCCAGCCCTTTCTTCCCAAGCCAGAAATATTATACACATCACTTCTGGGAAAACAGAACTGCTTTCCTTTTAAGTTATGTTTCAAACAGGAGGGTTTTTTTTCCCTTTCTTGCTCTCTTCATAACTTTAATTGGATTTTTGCATCATCTCACAGATTTCAAATATTTTGTTAGGCGCAAGTTGATCACCCAGTGTATTTTAAGCCCTTGAAACTGCTCATGTGCATCCCGTCTTGCAAGTAGATTTATTTACTTTTATTTTTTAAAGAATACAAAAAACACAGTTTGGAAAGCATGTGGAATACATTTATGTTAAACTGTTGGTTGAACACCAACATTTGGTTTGGAATCACTTTAGAACAAGACCGCACGGTACAAGATAAGAAAAGGAAACTCAGAAAAATAATAACCATCTACATTCTCCTTATTGAGGGACTACTGGTGCTTCAAATAACACACATCTTTCTTTTGATGTACCCTGAAGATGAATGCTGAAGACCACAGCGTCCCACATCCAGATCTTCCATTTCCATGCAGTATCCAACCCTAAAGACCAAAAATATCTTCTTGGTGCCACAGAACTACCCGTGCTAAGTTTCAGCTACTGAACCATGCTGAGATAGACTAAAAATACGTTACATGCTTTTGCCCTGTAAATGATATCACAATTTCTGCTAGGATGTTGTTTTATCAACAATGGATGTTGTCATGGGTGCTAGAATTCAAAATTAGGAGAAGCAAGTTCTGCAACGGGAAATTCCAGCTTTGGGGTGAAATGTCAGGTGTTTCTGAGTTCTTCTAGTCCCAAGATTGCATTTCTAGGAAATTTCTGTTGTGTGGTTTTGGTCTTTGCATTTTTTGGCACAAACGAAAGATGGGAAATTGGAACACAGATAGTGGAAGTGGGGAAAATATCAGGTACTTCTGGGGTAAAGGAATGCAGAGGCCAGGAAAAGGTTCCAGCTCAGCTTCTCTTCTCCCAACTATGAGGGCTGACTTTTGAAATAAGGTGTGCTTCTAATCTAGATTTAGAGAGCGGCTTTGTGGGGAGCAGGCGGAAGAGGCAGAATTCTGAGAAATTAAAGAAGGGTGATTGAGGTGCCCAGCTTAAAGAGCACAGAACACACACTTGGGAGGTATCTGGTCAAGTCTCCTTAATTCAGATCCCAAGATCAACTTTTTAAAAGTAGGGCTGACAATTTTCCCTTCCCTTTTCAGTTAGATTACTAATCTTTAATTATTTACTCTAATCTAAAATCGTTCTAGCTAGGTGTCGGGAAACCCCCCGTTATTCCAAAATGATGAATAAAGTTTGGCAATTTCAGAAATGGATTCACAAAGTAATGTTGAACATAGGAGGGGGGACAGGAGAGGGTTCCTGCACTATTAATAGTTGCATAGAAGAGGAAATTTCAGGAGGTACCGCTTACACCTTCTGACATTCCCTATTTTATACAATAAATTAAAGATACAGGAGCCCTCCCTGTCTTCTTTCTTCTGGTCACCCTCAGGGAAATAATCCAAGCAAATCCAGCTGTAAAACTTGTAGACTGCTGCTGAAAGAGAGGGGGGAGAAATCACCTTGTTCCAAAAAGTTTTTAAGACAAGTGGACCAGATTTAAAGTCCCATCTTAATGCAGTACTAGAAACTCCCATGGCAACCGAATCTTTGAGACAGGTTGAACTGCAAGCCCAAAAGTTCTGGGTTCAAATCTAGCCAGAAAGTTATGAGTTCCAAATTCATCTCTGACATGAGGGAATAGATTAGCCTTTGCCAAACCTCTGCGCCTTTCATCTTCTATAGCATAGGGATAGTTCCGACTTTGTGTGGGTGACAGATGCATTTGAAATGCTTTAGAGAAGCACTATTTGAATGTTAAGTATTGTTCTCTCTATTTTACACCACACCTGTTACATATCAAGGTAGATGGAGCGTAATCTTTTGAAACACCTGTCTGCACTCGATGGTCTGTCTACCTCTGCTGAACTGGACTCGCATTTTTCATTTTGGGTGGGACAGAAGAGAATCAACTCTGCTTCAGTCTCCAATCAACTGCTGCACCGGGACTCAGCGCTCTTATTCCTAGGGCACGGCGAGTACAGTGTTTTCTTTTTAAATTTTAAAAAAAGGATCGTGCTTTAAAATAGATTCCACAGGGTGGAGTTTTGTTTTCTAGCAGATTGAGAAAGGGAGATTCAAGAATCCTAATACAAAACATTTTGCATGCACACACACACACACACACACACACACACACACACAAAGCAGAGTTGTACAAACAGGACCAATAAAATAAGTTGCATGGGCAACAGGTAAAAAAGGGAAGTTTATTCTGTTAATAAAGGCCAGCTTGTCTCCCCACACACACCTCACTGCAGTTGTGAATAAAGTGTGTGTTCTGCTGAGAGGAAGAGGCTTAGAATAACTGAGTCACTTGCGTGACTTCTCTCTATTCTCTTCCTTCATTGCTGGGTTTTTCTAGCTGCCTGTCACTCGTTCTACCTCTCTCTATTCCTCTATTTTGTGTCTTGATACGCATACCACAAAGATGCTGTCCTGTACCCACATACCTGGGCGTGTGGGATACATCTGAGCAGACATTTAGAGGACTACACCACTGACTCATTTGTTTCAGCCACCTCCTGCCCTTATTTTGCCTTCTCGTAGTCAAGTTGTTAGCTTTTCGTTTTCCTTCTAAACTAGACCGTGAGCCCATTGAACGTGGCCTAGTTTTTCCAAGCACTTCTGAAATAACCAACGTTCATTGTGTCTAGCGCAACGTGTGGGCACGAAATGAGGTTAATCCAAAATAGCATTCTCTATTCATATATCCAACAGGAGGGAAGAGAAGAAATTGCCTGAAAAGCCCCAGTCATGCTTGAGAATGATAGGGATTATTCTAAGGGATTTTCCAACTTGTGCGCCAAGGAATGCCCCCACCGCACAGAGTATTCTAAGGAATACTAGGATGGAAAACCACTGGCCTGCTAGGTGTTCTTGCATCATCCCTAGCCACTGACCATGATGGCTGTGTCCAGCAGAAGTTGTCTCCCAACTTCTTGAAAGCTACAGGTTCCATATTGCCTCTTGGCTTAAAGGCCTCTGACCCAGAACAGCAGAAACCCTCCCTTCTTTCCTTCCATCCATCTAGAATTCAGCTAGGAGAGATGTCAAGAAGACATCCTTTCTCCTTTCACAAAGAAGAGCCCCTGACCAGTGATGGGGGAACCACCCAGTTACATAAATGTATGGGGAAACTGTGGCCCTCCGGAAGATGTTGACCTACAAGCACCATCTGTCCTAGCCAGCACGCCCAACAGCTAGAGGACCACAAGTCCACCCCACCCATGTTAGAAAATGTCTAAGAAGAAGTCAAGATCCATGTCTTACTGAAAAATTTTGTTATGGCTCCTACCTGTGTCTGTGTGTGTTTTAACTGCAATGTATTATCAACTACTGCAGGGATTGGGGGGCCCTATAACTTGCCCCAGATGTTGTTAGACTCCCAACATGCTGGCCAAAGCTGATGGGAGCTGGAGTCCAATAACATCTGGAGGGCCATGGGTTCCCCATCCCACCCCCGAACTACCATAAAGGTAGCAAAGGCCGTCCTGTTTATCTAAAAGATGCTACTCTAAATCCCCAAACATGGCCCTCCAGCTGTTTTTGGACTACAGCTCCCATCATCCCTAGCTAACAGGACCAGTGGTCAGGGATGATGGGAATTGTAGTCCCAAAACATCTGGATGGCTGAGTTTCGGGGTGCCTGCCCTAAGGTAACAAAATGGATGCAGGAAGACGCATCTTCTCACGAGTTTGCAGATCTTGTTTCCATCCCACTCACCCTATTATTGTGCTACGGTAGTAATCCTCATGAGGAAGACATTCCCAATGAAATTTCTCCTGGCTGAAGTGTACTCCTGAAGCCATGGAAAGCCATAAACCAAAAAGTGTCACAAGAGGAACTCTGCCACATAAAGAAAGGCAGTGTGGTATAGCGGGAAGAGTGTTCATTCAAATTCCCTCTCAGCCACAAAATGCACTAAGTGGCCTTGGGCATGCCATTATCTCTTGGCACAATCCGCCGCATAGGGTTATTGCAACTGTAAAGTGGGATAGCCCCACAAAAGCCAAACTGAATTCTTAACAGGAAGGTCAAGAGACAAGTGTGATAAATCTTTTACAGTAACCTGACGAACACTTAGGTTGTCAGTACAATGCATACAAGGCAAGGGAAAGGAGTCTTGCACACACTTCTTATCAAGGTTGTCCACACCCATCGAGGCAAACAGAAACATTTACTGCAGTTATTGGACAACTAAGACAACAGAAGCCTATGGGAAATACGTTAGCCCTGAATGGGATCAGAAGCACCCGTTTCACCCAATTTACAGTTCACTCACAACACACACAAACCTTTTAAAATTCTTAACAGTAACCCAAATCATTTAACGAGGGGGGGCACTTGACTATTAACATTGTTTGGGGTCAAAAAGCAAGTCATAACTTTCTTGCTGCTGGTGCATATAAAGCTGCAAGAAACTTGCCCACATCAGCTTGCAACTACCAACTTTTGAGAATCAGGGCGGTTCACAGAGCATCTCACCTTCTAGAAAACTCTGAAAATGTATAGAGAAACCTATCCCCAGGTGTGAACAGGATATAGAGGGCATTGTCTTCAATCTGGTCTCGTCAGGGAAGGAGTTTTCCTCAATGTTCCTCCGATATTGGGAGGTCCCCCCCTTCCCATACAGAAGCATGAAAATATGAACGCATGTTTTTGAGAGGGGGAGCTATTTTGGTTCCAAGAAATGTATCAGGTACACATTGTGGGACTCACAAGTAGTGCACATGGGAACATTACTTTGGATTGTATCAAAGTCATCTTCATCCGAGTGATCCCAGGTTGCTGAACCATATAACCAAAGCAAAGCATAGTTTTAGCAACCAAAGCTTTTTTTTCTTAACTAAAAAAAACCCCATCTGTTCTAACCAACAATGACCCTTAGTTTTTATAGGCCCCAATACGCAGGCAGACAAAATTTAAACTGTCTCAAAATGAGCACACCATAGAGCATTTTCACACAAAAAATAAAGCCTTAACACTTAAATTAAACGACACTGTCTCTATCCAATGATATGAGCATCCAGAACCCAGTTAGGCCTTTTAGCAAACACCACTTTGGTCTTACTGTACAGGTGGGCCCAGTACAACTGGAACTCTGACGTTCTTTCATTCTCAATCCTACAGTGGCCAAATGACCAGAAAATGTCAGCAAGGCCTGCTCCTGTGCCCTTCAATGCAGCTCAATTTGCAGAAAGCAGGAGGCGGTGCGATGCCCTGTTACCATCTGCAGATAAAACTCCTGTTAAAATGCATTGGCCAACCCAAACATTGGCACAACTGCTTGACAAACCATACCCATGAATAAAATACCTGCTTCTTCATCATTCGATTAGATATTTGAAAGCAGTCTCCCCTGCACTTTGGGTTTTGCATGTCCATCCTTTTGGAGTCGATTATTATCTCCATTTTACAGAAGAGGAACTGAATGAGGACCAAGCGGGTGAGATGTTTTACCAGTTCCCTATTCCCACCCACAGGTTATTTCTGTTATCTCAAAAACGCATACAGGCATGTTGTCCTCAGCAGCCAACGAGAAGCCTGTCCCACTCTGAAGTCCCTTTTGTATCGAAAGTTGCCTGGAGAAAGCCTGGGATTATTGGAGAATCCCAACTGGCAGAAATTCTTCCCAGCCTAGCAGTATAGTAGAGGCAAGTCTCTTTCCACCAGGCATACAAACACACAAAAGAGACTTGTCAAATTTTAAAAAGAGGATCTGTAATAAATCCACACCATCTGGCATGTGTATTTATATGTTCTGTATACAGGGAGAAGGTTTGCTCGTCTTTGGTTTGGGTTCCACAGCTGCTCAGCTGTGCTCTGCCATTTTCACACTTCACGCTTCAAAGATGGCACTTTTAGGCTGAACACCATCCCCTTTTCAATGGCAGTGTTTATATAGTTACGATTCAGAGACCACCATTCACTCGGTTCGAAGCAATAAAAAGTTAAGTCGAAAAATCCCACTCCGATCTAGGCAAATCAAAAGCCGTTTGAGCACAAGACGTGCTTTCAATCAGAGATCATGTTAAATGTATTTAGCCGTCTAGGACAGGGTCCTTTTAAAACTGGAAGAATCTTCTATCATATGTAGCTGAGACTTAACTTTGGGGCAGGGCGTTAGATAACTGCCACCTACCAAATAATGCTATTCCATCAACTTCAACTAATAAAAAGACGGCTTTCTCACAAGAGACCTGTGTGTATTTTCTTTGCAATCTAGCCTGATGAAGAATTCTGCAGAATTTGGAAGCTTGCAAACGGCTGACATTTTGGCCGATCCTAATAAAAGCATTTCAGGCTTTTTGCTACTTATAATTTGATGACCCTAAATATTTCAAATCTTTCCTCACCCGGAGATGCACATCAGCAAGCAAGCAGCCTACAACATTTGCTTTAGAACAAATGAGGAGGCTGGGTGGGCCTTTGGCTTTACAGGTTATTGAACTACAACTCCCATCCATCCACAACCACTGGGAGAAGTTGGAGTCCAACAACATCTGCTTCAGAGTGCAGAGTTGGTAACAACAGGATCCCAAGCGAAAGCTTCAGAATTTGTCGCAATTAAGGAGCGCCTGAGCAAATAATGGCGATTCATCTGACTCAGTCCCCATTTGTTTTCATGAGGCGCTTTCAGAATTAACCGTGTTTACAGCTAGCAACAGCCTTCCTTATCAGGCATCAAATATCCTGGAACTGAAGCTTAATCCCTCTGAGAGAACAAGTGACATGCTTTCAGCAGACATTAGGCATTTAATTAAAAACAAAATTTTGTTGGTGGTCAGAACTAAAAAAAGCCTCGTTGGTGCTGGCACTGTTAAATCCATGATGGCAAATAAAAATGAGACACATGAGCAGTTCGCTAAGCCTCCTACCCCCTCCCCAAACCCCAAACCACACTGGTTTCTAAGGCAATAACTGGACATAAAATGAAGAGCTGAAGCAGACGTAGGGTTCGTCAGCATCTGAATTCTTGAGAGCCACTTTATCTTCTAGGAGTCCAGAGGCTGACCTCTGCTGTACCAACCCATGCCAGCAGCTGGGATTTTTTATTTACCATGCTTTGATTAAAAATTTGATCAACCACTAGGAATCATACAAAAGTTTTGGGGAGGGCAAATTTGGCTCAGTTGTTCCTGATCTTGGACAGCAAAAACCTGCAACCAACAGGAAACACTTAAAAAAAGACAAAGTACGCTGTCTATCTCATGTCTGCTCTGCTATTTTTCTCCCAAGGAAGGAATGGGTTTATAGAGCTCGTAAACATGGATTCCAAAGCATTTGCCATTGTTGCCCAATTACTTTGCGTTCATGCCTGTTGCACCCTGTGCTCCCCTGATGTTATTTCAACTTACACTCCATTTTCACCCTGTTTTTCATGAGGCAACAGACAGAAGGCTAGAGAAGTCCTTACCCGCACCCAAAGTACACAAACCAATTGCCAATTGAGAGGGGAGGGGTCCGGCCTCCAGGTAAGAACCAGTGAGTTAGCAGAGATCTTTAACAGCAAGACTGCACTGCAAACACTTATCCACAGTGAAGGGATATAACTTTGTATTACACATCTTGTGTTCGACCTGTTAGTACTGCATACTATTCATTAGTTATCAGAGGTAGCCTTACTCAGTTCAGGAATGCATATTCATTCCTCAAGGAAGGAGCTGTTCGATCAAGAAGTCCACATGTATGTTATTAGGTAAAGGTAAAGGGACCCCTGACCATTAGGTCCAGTCATGACTGACTCTGGGATTGTGGCGCTCATCTCGCTTTATTGGCCGAGGGAGCCGGCGTACAGCTTCCGGGTCATGTGGCCAGCATGACTAAGCCGCTTCTGGCGAACCAGAGCAGCGCACGGAAACGTCGTTTACCTTCCCGCCGGAGCCATACCTATTTATCTACTTGCACTTTGACGTGCTTTCGAACTGCTAGGTTGGCAGGAGCAGGGACTGAGCAACAGGAGCTCACCCTGTCACGGGGATTCAAACCCCCGACCTTCTGACCGGCAAGTCCTAGGCTCTGTGGTTTAACCCACAGCGCCACCCGCGTCCCATGTATGTTATTACTAGGACCTAAAATGAAGGCATGGCTCTCTCCTATACAGAAATTGCATTTCTGCCAACAAGTGAAAAGCATGGCTACAGCCAGAGGCAATTCATACTTATGTTTTAAGGTTCCTTGTCCCAGTTCATGAAATTAGGCTCTTCAGCACATTCACACTAAAGATGGTTTTTACAAAATATTGACAGTTTCAACACCTTTTGCCCCTGTTCTCAACTCACTTCCTGGTAAAAGCAGGAATCTTGAATTTGTTTATTTTCCTTGCATCCCATCCCTCTAAAGGAGAGAGCCCAGAATCGCCAACAACCTCCCCTGATGTGTCAAGCAAGCAGCACTAAAAATCGTAAAATACGGTTAAAATAGCCAGCAATGAGAGAAGCAGGTGCCATGACTGTACCATTCGACTGCCTCATTTCTTGCAGCGTGGAAAACCACAGGGCAGAGAAACAATCTCGGGAGGAAGGAGGCTGTTGCAACTGGAAGGAGGCTGTTGGGACTAGGCACAAAATAGGGCAATAGGCAGCAGGCTAGACACCCATCATAGCTGAATTCAAAGCCTTCCTCCATGACACACACAGACCTCTGTGATATTTACCCTAGTTTGACAAAGCTACTTGCAACGGTATAAGCTTCCAAAACACATATGAAGTGATTCTCACTTGGATTGGGGTGTATCAGCATTCTAGTTGCCCACCAGCCTTAAGTCTTGGGCTGGCCAGTCACTTGTTCTCATTTCATCCTTCTTCCTACGAAGATTAAATGGAGGAAAGGCAGGCCATCTGCCTTGAGCCGGTTGGAGGAACGGTGTGATAAAAATAAACTTAAAAAACAGGTTGGATTCTAGAGGCTGTCTGAATAGTCTCTCCCGTCTACACTGGTTCTCAGACAACAGTTTCCTTTTAAGGTTTTTAAGAGTGCCTGGCTAGAGAAATCAAAAACCAGAGTTGAGGCAGAGGCAGAAGTTTTAGATGGCCAAGCCTTAAAAACTTTGGTAACGGGGATTGTACGCATCTTGTTACAGAAGTGCCACTTGGAAGCATTGAGGTGGCTTCCATTTCCCGGCAGCATATACAAGCTATATCTATAGATAGATGAAATAGTTTCTAGCATTAAGTGCAGAACTATTAATGGCAAGGCAAGCATGTGATCAACGAACATGTCTGCCCAGAAACTCCCAACACAGAAAGACCCAGAGGCTGCTCAAAAACATCTTCCATACCAGATAGGGGAGCTAAGGAACGCAAATGGCGGCTTGCTCACCCCGTTAAACAGGAGTTCACAGTGCAATCCTATGCATGTCTACTGCTAAGCTCCACTGAGTGCACTACAGCTCAACCTCAGGTAGGCTTGTAAGTTTTAGGCTTACCACTGTACGTATGCAGACTTTGTATCAGCTAGTAGTAAAGTCTCTCACATCTGTGTTAGGGAGGACAGGGGTGTTTCAGGATGACTTAGGGCTGCACGATTCATGCTGCACCAGCAAAAGAAAAAAGAAAAAGCCTTGCATCCTTGCTAGAGAGGTTTGCTAAATTTCTTGTTTTGTTATTGCTATTTGGAACCTCCAAGAACAGGGAAGGGATATTTGGTGGCCACAATATGTGGTTGGGGGACGCCAGTCAGCTTTGTGGGTGACAAAGTTCAGGCCTGGGAGAGCAAGCAAGAGGAAGAGAGAGACAAACAAACCTCCAGGCAACTTGACCGATACACCTTCTTTACAGAAATTAAGCTGAGTGCTTGCAAAAACACTGGAGAGCTATTTAGGGGGGGTCGCCTTGACTTATTCAGAAAGCTGCAGTTGCATTTGTATGAAACCTCTCATGCGCAAATGCTACGGCAGAAAAGTTAACTATTTATTTTTGAAAACCAAAACACAATTTGAATCCTTTTATTGACTTCTGGCAAGCGAGTTCAGGTCGGTCACCCTGCCAATAGCACCAGTTGAGGGTTCACGGCACAGCAGCCTATAATAAGGATTTCTGTCCACGAGCGTGAGGGTTGCGTAACGTCAGTTATGAAACTAAAGTTATTGCCCACAGCCAATGGAGAAAGCAAGCCTTGTCCTGTGGCTTTGGAGAAAGTACTTTAGCACCAATTTCCCTCTGAAGCTGGGATGAGAACCTATGGCCTCACGTAAGGTCATTTTATTCCAACTCTAATTGGCCCCAGCCATGATCGCCAATGGTGATGGGAGTTAGATTCCAACAGCATATGGAAAAGGTCACTGTTCCCCATTCCTGCTCTAGAAAGCAAGACCAGATTTAGATTTAGATATCACCAGCAGCATTAGAGAGACTGGGCTCAGGTGTGGCTCTGGATCCCATACAGTCGTACCTTGGTTTTTGAACAGCTTAGTGCTCAAACATTTTGGCTCCCGAATGCCGCAAACCCAGAAGTGACTGCTCCTGTTTGTGAAGTATTTTTGGAAGCCGAATGTCCGACGGTGCTTCTGCAGCTTCCGATTGGCTGCAGGAGCTTCCTGCAGCCAATCAGAAGCTGTGCTTTGGGTTCTGAACATTTTGGAAGTCGACTTCCGTTTGACTTCCAAGGTACGACTGTGTTCTCCAAATTCTCTGGCCTCTCGCTCACTTTCAGGCATCAAGGCAGGTTGCGGTTTTGAGTTTTGGCAATTTAAACCCCCAGATTTCTACAGCACGAGAAGAGCAGGGCTTGCTTTCACCAGGCCTCCTTAGGGCATCCCACAGGCAGTTATCCTTTTCAGTTACTTTGGCTACTTTGAAATAAGTCTTGTTGTGTTCATGGGGAGGGAGAGAAACAGTATACACAGGGCAACAGCCTTAACCCCAAGAAATGGTGACTGGGCCAAGGTAGCCCAGTGAAGGACATCGTTCTGAAGAGACACGGACCCAGGTATCGCTGATTCAAAACCAACACTATAGGCACCCTGCCTCATTTTAAACTTTCTCCATAATTGTAGATTCCAACAAACCTTTGAGCAAGTTAACTACTTCAGGACTGAGAAAATAAATTACAGCAAACCATTTAAAAAAGAAGATTTTAAGTCACATCGCTGCTGAAATCTTTATGAGCGTTGCCAACTGACCAGGAGAAAAGGGCTGGCCTGTTCTAGTGCCTTTAACAGCTGCGTGATCTTCAGAAACCAACGTGTGAGCATGGAGATAAAACCCACCCACGAATCTCTGTAGACAAAGCCTGTTTAAAAGGCACGGCGACAGAAATGGAAAGGTTAGCAGCGCTAGACCCTTATTTGCCCAACAGTTGCATCTCAGAGCCTGTTCCTACCACTCCCACATAAGCTGTGTATTTCTTTATTTTTTTGGTCCCTTGCCCATTTGTTTTATTTCTTGCAGTTTATAAATCCTACAAGCTTGTTCCTATCTGAGCTGAGCACCTCTCTCACCAACCGCTGCTGCCTTTAAGTTTGCTCTGAAAAGAATGCCATTAAACCTCCTGAAAGCTGTTCAGGTGGAGACAGGTTGCTAAATAAATACGATGAAAAGGCACGGGGTTTCCAAATACAAAGGAAGAAAGCATACGCTCTGTTTTGACTTCTAAAAAAGCAAGATTGCTGCTGCTGCAGGCTTTTTGTATTTTAAAGTGACAGATCACAGAGAGGGGTGGATGAGAGTCAGTTTAAAATGGATTGTTAGGAAGAGAGAGAGAAAAAACAAGCAGTGGTCCTCCATAGATACTACAGAACAAGTTCAGCCAGATAAACAGGTCTGTTAAACCCCTAAGGGGATTGGAAAGAGTATCACACAAAACTTTAATAACATGCATTTCATGACCTACATTTATTAAAGCTTTCATGCTACAGTGTTTTTATAAATAGCTTTTTTGGGGGGAGGGGTGTTCCTAAGACAAATGAGTACAAAGAATTTAAGGAAAACAGCTAAATTAAGCTTCGTAATTTAATACGGGTTTTGTTTTGGGGTTTTGTTTTTTTTGTCAAAGGGCTCCCATAATCTTCTGGGAAAACTCCTTTCAGAATACTCAGCACGTTACATCGACCAGACATAAACATCGGCAGCCTTGTGGAAATAGATCGGTCACCTTTTATGTGCTTCCATTAAAAGCCTTCAAAAAACAATACATTTCAAGTTGAGTGCGTCTACCTTACCACGAAAGGAGGGTTGCAGATCATTGAACAGCACACCATATATATATAAACTCCAGCATGTTAGTACATATTATCTCCATGTCAAAGTACAACAGTGACTTGGATAAGTATGTAATGTACTTAAGACGACCAGATTTTATTCAGAGTGGACTTCTTTCTATTAGAGTCATTGACCTCTGATGAACAGGACTCTAATCTACAAAAACTTATGCCAACCATAATAAATGTGTTAATCTTTAGAGCACAACACGCTTGTTTCTGTGCTGATTTTAAATTACCAAGTAGTTGTGAGCTATAGAACACTTTAAATATCAAGTCTCCTTCCATCTATGCAGCAGGATATTTTACATTATTGAATGCACAAATAGAGACTTAAAAAAACAGCAACATATTTTAACATTCCTAGCTTTAAGTCTTTTACTGTCATTCTGTCTTTTTCTTTTTTAGGAGGGCAGTTAAAGCCGTCCTAGAAATTTTGGCTGCTTGAGTTTTGTTATTGTTGTTCATCGAGGTTTTGCTGCTTTTAATGCACGCAGCTCCATAACTGCCTCCAGCAGGAACAGTGGGATATAAATTATTTTTCATAAATACTGCTGCGGCAGTGACATATGTCACATTTATTTATTTACAGATTTATATCCTGCCCTTCAAACAACACGTTTCAGGGTGGCTTACACAATTTTCAAGCTAAAATAACTTGAAAGCTACTGGCTGCTAAATTTAGCCTTCGAGAACTGATGCTAAATCTTGGATTAGCAAAGGCCTGGTGGCTATTCTGCCGAAGAGTTTATGAATTCGTGGCATACACAACGTGCAACTGGTTTAAACAGAGAAACACAAATGGCGGGGTTTCTACTTTCTGTTGTAGAAGTAAACTTTCTACTTATCATCTTCTCCAATGGGCACAAACCTTAGAACAGTACCTCCCAAACTTCATTTTACAGCAGAGGTCTGTAGGCTCAGTGGCAGAAGATATGCTTTGCACATGAATGTCCCCGGTTCAATCCCTGGAATCGCCTGGCGGGGCTGTGAGGGATTTCCCCCCACACCCTGACCCCCATCTGAAAACCCTGGAAGCTGCGGGTCCTCACTGAGAGCTAGGTGGTCTGGATAAGGAAGTGGCAGCTTCCAAGGGGGGGGAGGTACCTACTCAAGAGGAATCGGCTCCCACATTTCTGTAGAAGTTACTCATTTGGGTGTGCCCTGCAAGTGGAAGGAACCAAACTCATGCAGAGATATACAAGGAGTGTTTCTCCCACGGGAGGGCAATTCTGTTCTGCTATTGGGAGCGACTGAGTCGGTCAGAGATACTCAGTGCAGCAGAAATGGACCACTCGAAGCAAAGGGTGGCTTGCAAGGAGGCAATAACAGGTCGGTGGTTCTGAGATACAGCAGGCACTCTCTTTGGGCGGGTATACTCTCCGGCAGCTTGGGAATTCTTGCCTTACAATTGCTTTTCCATTTTTGTTTTTCGTTTTGTTTTCCAACTGTTCTTTTAACAGATAACAGCTTCGTTTATCAAAACCACATTTCCATAGTAACACTTTTGCCCGGAGGCAATTCAGTCTTTTGACAATGAGCAAACGCTGAATCCATGCCCTTGTTCTGCAGGCGAAATGAGCCTCAGATCTCTCTTCAGGTTTTTTTTTTTAGGTTGTTTTTTTTTAAAAAAAAAACTTTTGAATTTTAGAAGTATGAAGAGGCCATTTGAACCACAATCTCAATGCACATGAGCTAGCCACCCCCCCACACACAAATAAACCCCAAACAGCAATGTTCTTTTGAAAACTCAAAGTACTTTGATGCATCTATATGTAGAATTTTAGTTTACTCCACATATTCCAAATGCATGCTCAGGAAACACTATGGCATTTATTCTACACCCAGGCTGCTTTAAAAAACATTTCATTTTAATTGCTGTGCGTCTACTTTTACACAGGAAAACATCAGAACTCTCACACTGTTTTATATCATGCCAGACTGTTAGTGCATCTCTTTCATTACTGTCTACACTGATTGACAGCTGCTCCTCAGGGTTTCAGATGGGAATTTCCCCTAGCCCTACCAGGACTTCTCTAGGGTTGAACCCGCTACCTTTTGAATTCCAAGGCCTGTGGCTCCACAACCAACCCAGCTACAAACCTACACCAAATGCACCACTTAAAAATATTTGCATAAGGAATTTTGTTATTGTTATGAGTTCAACCAGCAGGACCCAAGAAAGCTAAACAGTCATCTGCTCAAGAAACTCTACAGCTTGGAAGAACTCCGAAAACACAAGATAGCAAAATAATAATAATAACCTAGTAAGCAACATGATGAAAGCTTCTGTGCTAAGCACAAAAGTGAGCTGTGCCTTGAATAATATACATCAGAACCAACTTGTTCAGTTTAATAAACACACAATGTATTCTCTCTTTTTCAAAAAACACAGAACACTTCTTATTTAAATAGAACTAGTTGTCTTAAGAGGATGAGTGTCCCATTACTTTCAGGTAGGTTACAACAGTCATTTGGGGACCACTTGGAAGAAAACAACTGTGTGGTTTGGGTTTTTGTTTTGTTTTTACAAACTGAAATAGTACGAAGATTTCAGTGTTTTATAACACGATCCGGTTTTTAATTCCAGGTAAGTGTTACAGGACTGCAGCCTTAATATAGTTAAGCCGAGATCGAAAAACAACGCTTTATGTCCACGAAACTGAAACACACAGGGGAGAACCTTCCAACCAAATTGCATCATAATTCTGTCGGAAAATGTTTAAGGAGGGGGGGCAGGATGGAATGATAGAGCTTCAAAGAGGGTATTTATTCCCTGCCCAAATTAAACCTCTTATTTTAAGAAGTTCAACAAGTGTCCGTTTTCATTTTATTAACTACTCTGTTTGGCTGATTTATAACTCTCTCAGCTTGAAGCAAACCAAATGAAACCTTTCAGCAAAGCAGAGAAAGAAAGAAGGGCAATTTATATTTAGAGGACATTTAAAACACAGTAAACACATACCAGTATGAGTTCGCAGGTGCGCTTTTAAGTGGGAAGACTTCGTATAGACTTTAGTGCAACCTAAGACAGAAAACAGAAGAGACGTAAGGCTCATCTAGAAACATTTAACATTCAGCGCCATCACCAACATGCTGATCTAACTATACATTAAGAAAGTTACTCAAACCTGCCGTATGTCACATAGCAAATATGCTGTTAGTGGAATATGCTAACAGCAAAAGGGCAGATCCCAACGATGGTTTATAGCAGTAAACCCACAAATAGCACAATTAGACACACCCAGAATGTCAACTCCAATATCTATATATTCCTAAACACGTCCATTAATCAGACAGCATTATTTCGCCAAAATTTATATGCGGCGAGTTGATAAACTATACCTTTCAATGTGTAAATAAGACTCCTAGCAGTAACGTATAGCGTATTATTATATTAGGAACTATACCAGCAAGGAATTACACAAGTGTGTGCTACGTGGCCGGCTGTACAAGAGCATCAAGCTCTAGATTAGCGTTTCCCAAAGTTGGGTCTCCAGCTGTTTTTGGACTACAATTCCTATCAACCCTGACCACTGGTCCTGTTAGCTAGCTAGGGATGATAGGAGTTGTAGTCCAAAAAAAAGCTGGAGACCCAAGTTTGTGAGACACTGATCTATAGTGTCTTGCACACCAGTTCAGCACAAGTGTTGTCACCATGTCAGAAGACAATTCTGCAGGTGTGTGGATTCTCTACAGCAAGCGAGAAAAAACCAATGCAATTTAAGGGCCCGCCCTAGTCTCAGAAGGTATGTAAAACTCAGGTACAGCCTAGCTCTCCCTCAGACCAGTACATTGTAAAGAAAACAGAGCCAATGTTAAGTGCCACATCTCATGTGCCACCACACCACAGCATGTCATGCCAGCTACTAGGAGTGGAACGGGACGTGATCCCAATGAAAACGTTCCTTAAGGAGACATGCGTGTACGCACAGGACTTCCTGCTGAAAGCAAAAGGAAGGAGTTGGCAGCAGACAGCAGTCACCAACTACCAGTGAGCTGTATGCCCAGCTGCTGCTGACTTCAGCCCTCCATCAGCCCCAGGCAGCCTGGCCAAAATTATAAGGGATTGTGGGAGTTTTGGTGCAACAACGTCTAGAGGGCTACCATATCAGCGCTAGAACTGCAGTTCTAAGCCCACGTACTTGGAAGTTAAGCCCCACTGAATAGGACTTACTTCTGAGAAGTCATAGTTAAGACTGCACCGTATCAAGTTCAAATTAGTCAAGAATCTGACCCAAGGTTTACGTCCAAGGCCCAGTTGCTGGTAGAACTTCCAACATGGCGGAACTGTTCCTGGATTGTTACCACTTCAGGTGCTGGTGCTGGGGTGAATGTCTCCCCCATATCTAATAACTCCCTCATATAGAAAAAATGTCAGGGATAAGTTCTAGCCTAGACCTTGCCCTCCTCCCCACCACCATGGAAGGCGGCAAACATGCAGTTCCCCACTTGTGTGAAGTCCAAGTCAAGTTAACCTATTTCCCCACCATGGCCCACTCTTTGGTAAAAGGTTTGGTCTTTTTTGGGTAGTCTACCATGTTTGTTCATCTGTCGTTTCCATACAGCGCAAAAGGAACAATGGTAAGTGTTTCTAGAAAGGTGTTTGATTTTTAATTTTTGCTCTGATCCATGCCGACAATGGTTCATATTTAACACACGGTGAAGAAGTCAAGGGAGAGCCTTCTAGTGGTTTTTCCACCCCCCCTTCCCAGCTTACCAGGATAATCACAGTAATGAATACGCCTCTTCTCCAAGTCTGGGTTACTCCTCCTGTTGTACCTGGGCGCTGGGATGGCTGGCGAATTCATGGGGATGTTTGCAGGCACACTGGGATTGTGGATTGCCATCTTGGAGGCAATTGTAGCAGCGTAAGACGGAGGAGGGGTCAAATTCTGCAGCATTTCCGCTTGCCGGTCTGGGCTGCCAGGCTCCGAGCTTGGGGGCGAAGGCGGGAAGTAAGTGGCTTGTTGCTGGAGAAACTGGTTTGGCATGGTGTACGTGCAAGGGGGCATCGCGTGAAACTGCTTCATGGTTGTCTGCGGCATAGCGGAAGAGAGGGTGTTAAGGCCCGCCATGGCAGAGGACATGGAGACATTACTGAAGGAGTCCATCACCGCCGCCTGCGTAGTCGGGTTGGGCATGTCTAAATCGGGAGAGCTCAGGAGCTGATACAGCTGACCTTGTTGGGGCACAGAGACGTGGATATCTGGAGTGGGAAGCTCCTGCTTGATGAAGAGGTTGTTCACGTCGGGTGTCTGGTGGGGGCTGAAGATGCTTGTGAACTCGGGGAGCGCCTGGGTGGGGTTCGGGACGGGAGCAACAGTTTCACTCTGGTGGCTGAAGGCTGTCACGGGCTCCGTCTTGATGTGGGTGACCGGTGGCCTCTGCGATTTGTACAAGCCCGTTCTCAGCTGTGTGATATCAGGAAGGTAGATGTTCATGTTGACGCTGTAAGGCACCCCTTCACTGTTGGTGAAGAACTGGTCAACCACGGAGGCACTCTCTCGGCGGTACTTTTTATGCTCAGGGAGAACCGGGGCAGGAGGGAGCTGAGGGGTCAGATATTTCTCCATTTCACAGCGGGCCTGAAGAACAACAAGAAGATAAAAAAATTAGCTATACTATACTGTACAAGGGAATGCTCCTAAAAAGAGATAACCTGACCAATGGCACTTTCATCTATTCTCCTTTTGCATATTACAGGTTTAAGTCTGGATAGCTCAGCTGGTTAGAGCGCGGTGCTGACAAGGCCGAGGTTGCAGGATTGATCCCCGTATGGGACAGTTGCATATTCCTGCATTGAAGAGTCAGACTAGAATGTTCCTCAGGGTCCCTTCCAACTTTACAATTCTTTACAAGTCCTGGTACTCAAAACCTAACAGGGCCGTTCTCCAAAACAAACCAACAAAAAGCATTTATCCATTAAAAGTGAAATGTTGCCATTCAGAATCCCAGCACACAATCCAGACAAAATCAAATTCTTATGTCCTATTGAAAAAAACAGAAGCAATTTAAGGATGAGCCTAACTCTCTCTCTTTGAAATTAGTGGGGATTAGAACTTTAGCTGGATCGTGTCAGTTGTATTTTTCACAGTAACTACTTAAAGAGAAGAAGAGTAGAAATAGCAGGTTGAATTTTATAAGAGAGTTCCTTTAGGTGGGGAAAAAATGCAAACAGGTAAAAGCTTTGACACCAGAAGTTCAAATTACAACATTTAATAAAATGCTGTTCTCACTCTTCAGGACTTCCTGACTACAATAAGGCAATTCCACTAAAAAGCGTTTAGATTTTATCAACTATCTCTTGTTATCAGGAATGCAATTAAATGTTGGGTGGTGCAGTTTTAATACGTGCTTTCCTACACGCAAATCCTGTACTCAGTTTGGATAATTAAAAATTAGCCTCTTAAGATACTCAGAGTTTGAAGAAATTCAAAGGTGCAATTTTTATGGAGGGAATCAAGAGACTGCAGCAGATGTGAAAAACATAGACCTGACTGCATCCATGTAAAACTTTTTTCCCTGGGCCCTTACGAGGTTAAGAGCAGCTTCACTTTCCATTTTGATTCCCTGCCACACCTGCAGGATGAGAACAGCCGTGTGTGTAAATGCGCTGGAACAAGTTAATTAGGAGCCTCCAATCTCATGCTTTGGAAAACCAATCCCAGAAGAACAAATATAAAGACTTGCATCTGATCCCAGAATGAACAAAGCTATTTCCGTGTAACAGCCACAATCTAGGAAAGTTCTGGGTGGGTGGCTGTACCACTTCATATTGCAGGGGCACAGCTCACAAGATCAGAACACTTCCCCCAATTTGCTGGCACCCAAATTCTCCAAGTTGCAAGGCTTCTATGTGCAAGGGAAGGGTTTGTATTGGGGGTGGCACTATTCAAGCAAATGAGCCCCCATCTGCAGTCTGAAATACTACAGCCCAGGGGCTGTGTTATACCACCTCAGTGAAAAGGTGGCACTTAACCTAAATCCAAGTCCCTATTTTCCAATGAACGCTGCCAGGCTTCAAAACAGGACACACAGGGGAAGGGAGCTTAAACCCAGAGCTAGCTACCTGATCTCAAGATTCAAATGCAAAACGAATGCCATTTACATGTCCCTAAAGATGCACATTTGTTACAGACCCCCTTCCTGCATATGCATTTGCCACCCAGCCTGACTGGAGAGCAAAGGTTTCCCAACCTGAGTCAGCCTATAAAACCATATCCATCGGCAAACATCCCTGTCCTTGAGGAGATCTTTAATTACCAGCAGGGAGGGAGCGTGCAAGGGAAAGAGAAAGGGAATCTTTTGCCTAGTTTAGCGGTGTGAGGGGATCCGTGGGTGGACGCAGCCCGATACATTACAAGCAGAGTCACCAGTAAAACATTTATCATGTACCCTCCAGTGAGCAATTGCTGCATTCTCCCTTGCTCTGTAAGGAGTCCATTCATGCCAGAACACTTCCATACCTCCAAAGCGAGGGTCTGCTGACCAGAGGAACATTGGGCAAACAAGTTTATTTTCAGAGCCTCTCTGAAGCCACAGGCACCACCAAAAAGCCCTCACCAGAAAGGAGAAACAGCAGCCCCCTTGTCTGCGATCAAGATCTGCACCAACATGCCAGGCGACTTTTTCCAGCTCTTGTTTACAACCCCAACCGAGCTTGCTTTGATGACAGAAACACTATTCTTGGGGGGGGGGGTGGAGAGGGAGTATCGCTGAAACCAAGCTGCCTTCCTTGCGAGGTACTTTCCTCCATCGCTCCTCCCACCCACCTTTCGGGAATTGCGACATTCTAATAAATAAGATCCTTGTGCAAATCAATTAAAACCAATATTCCAGCACACACTTGGGCTGGAGATTGGGGGGAGGGAAAGAGAGAGAGAGAGAGAAAGAAAGAGAGAAGAAACATTGCTTTGTTTAGACCCACTTGAGGCTTTTTCCACTCATTATATCCACTGACATTTGGGCTTTTTTCTTTTTTAAAGAAAGCTTGCAAAAGGATAAAAACGTAGGAGAAAACGCTCAAATAAGAACAACCCAGGGCTAGAAATAGTTGCAAATTAAAACCGGTTGCGTTCCTACAAACAAAAAAAAAATGCCAGCGGTTTGTGCTTTCCCGTTTTAGCTCGTCCAGCTGTTTGCATGTGGATCCGTTTCCAGCCGGTTTTCTGGGACGAGAAAAAGTCCCAGAACTTCTCTCTTCCTTCTCTCTTTTCTCTCTCTCCCCCCCCCCGCCCCCGCTGCCCTTTCTCCCTCTCGCCCCATCTAAAATGACCGTGCGTGGGCGAGAGGGACAGGCAGCGACTCTAATTCGGCTGCTGAGCAAGTGCGCTAAGGTGGCAGCTGTAGCTTTCAACACAACTGCCCGGGCCAGTTTCTCTCTCCACCCCCCCTCCACCCACCCCTTCACCCACTTGCTGCCTGGGCACTGGCTCAGCCCCAGGGCTCTCTGCTGCCAGGGGGTGGGTGGGTGCGTGGGTGCTGCGCAACTCCCACTCCCTCTCAGGGCGAAACGTGGAGCCTGGCACCAACTGGCTCGCTAGGCGGGGCGGCAACCCGGATCCCAAGGGTGCCTGGGGAAGGAAGCGGGTGCCCTGGCCTGGAAAAGGGACGGGGCGTCCTCCTCGAAGGGCAGCTGGCTCTGTTTGGTGGAGATGGGTCAACACATCTGCTCCAGGGAGGAATGGCATGGGGAAACTGTGAAGTCCGCGAGTTCCTAAAGAACTGCCAAAGCCGCCGCCGCCGTCTCGGCTTGGCGAAGTTGCCGCCTGACTTTCCCCGGCACCGCCCAGAGAAGCAGCGGCCCGTCACCAACGCTGCAGAAAAGGCTCCGGAATAACTGGCTCCTCGCAACTTCCTCGCCTATGCGCACGTAAGAGAGAGATGCGTGTCTTGCGCCGCGCCTTCGAGCGCAGCGGCGTGAAAAGCCCCGCCGTCCACACGGAGGAAACCCGCGTTCAATAATCGCGGGTCGTTAACAAGCGGAGTTCTGGGGAACTACGCGCTGCCCGAGGTTTCGCCCTTAAACGCAAAGAGCCCCGAAGAAAGCCATAAAAAGGAGCCGTGTCCACCTAGGACGGGGCAAAGGCGAGGCCAGGCGAGCGGCAGCCCGCACCTCGGAGAGCCCGAGTTGGCTCCCTGCCCCAAACACACCCAAAGCGAGCCAGCGCCGAGGCGCACCCAGCGCGCTCCGAGCCCGGGGCTCGAGAAAGCCCACGATCCGAGCAACGCGTCGCCACGAGGTGCACTCTGCCCGTGTTCCGAGGCAAAATCATCTATATTTTAATTCCGGTGGGAAAAGATGCCCGAGGCTCCACTCCTGATTCACAACGGAGCGCGAGAGGCGCGCCCTGCGCTTACCTGCGCCATCTCCTCGCTGGGGATCCTGGCTGCTGCGCCCGCTTGCTGCTGCTTGATCTCCTCGGGACCCTGCCCCGGGAACTGCGCGGCTTCCCGGCCGCCCAGCACGGGCTTGAGCTGCGCGAAGACGGGCTCCTCGGGCCCCAGGCGGGCGCTCATGCTCAGCACCCGCGTAGCCATGCGGAAGGCGCGCCTCGGCGCGAAAGCGGCAGGACGCACGGAATGGAGCCTCGCCTCGCTCACTCCCGCCCGACAGCAGCGCGCATGAGGCTCCCAAGCTCGCTCTACCTGGCCGAGGTCGCGCTGCCGGGCCAGCCCCGTCCCTGGGCCCGCCCTCCCGCCTCTATTTCACCGCCTCCGCCCCGACGAGGGGCCGGCTCTGCCGGGCGGGAACGCCCACGGGCCCGGGCTGCGCGCCCCGCCCCTGCTCGGCAGGCCTGCAAGGCGCACGGCAGGAGGGAGCGAAACCAGCCGTCGAGCGGGGGGCACGTCTCCCGGGGCGCTGCCCCAAAACACCCCACCCACTTTCTTAACCCCCCCCCGCCGCTTTCTCCCCCCCCCACCGCCTCCGTTTCCCCCAAGCCCTGCTGCTAACTGCTACCACTCCTTCCACCGATTCTCCTTCCCGACTGCGGAGCGCAATGGCCCCTCCGCGTAAAGGGGAACAGCTGGCCTGAAGAGGCCGGGGCGATGAAAGGCCAAATCCGAGCTGTTCTTTTTCGAAAATAGCAGCACTAAATTCTGGAATTGAGCGCAGGCAGCAAACAAGCAGTGAGCGTCGCCACGGGGGGAGTGCGCGCTCTTGGCGACGCAAGCCCCCCTCGGATATGGAACGGGCACGGAGCGGGAGCCGGCCGGGGCGATCCACAAAGGGCTTAAGCCGGAGTGGGTTGCCCCTCGGGTCTCTCTCGCCACCGTATGTAACCCCCGGTAACAGGAGCCCGACCCCGATGGGGCAAAAATCACATGCGTTTAATGGAAAGTTCCTAAACTAGGGTTAAATAGTGTGATGTTTGCTTTCAGTGTGGAATAACTCATATTTTTGAATGGTTGCTGGAAGGCCAAGTGTCCGCTTGCGTAGAGGCTCAGTGGGGGCAGCACTATTGTGATTTTTGTGTTTCCCCTGTTTCTGCAGCCTCATGCATTAACCAGAGCATTCAGCCTTGGGATAGGATTAATAAGGAAGGATGCTATTAGCGCAGTGGCTCTCAGACTTTTTTCTCCCGGCCACACTTTCAGAATAAAAACTTGCTGGCACCACACCGAATGGTCTTATCAATAAGAAATACATTATATTGATAATAAATACAACTAGGATTGCCCTCAGTATCACTTGCTGCTCTTGCTTCATTTTGAAAATATGTCTATCCATATTCTGCAAGTTTGTTTTTTTTTTAATCACACTACACTAAAGTGTTTAAATGTTTCATTGATTGTCCTTGTTTCAGCCCACCACTCTTCCCACCCTCTCCTGCCACACCAGTGTGGCACGCCACGCCCTTTGAAAACCACTGTATTAAAAGGTAAAGTACCCCTGGACAGTTACGTAAGTCCGGTCAAAGGCAACTATGGGGTTGCGGCGCTCATCTCGCTTTCAGGCTGAGGGAGCCGGCGTTTGTCCACAGACAGCTTTTCCGGGTCATGTGGCCAGCATGACTAAACCGCTACTGGCGCACAGAAGGCCATATACCTTTATGGTCTCTCTGTCCAGGTTTTAGAGAGTTCTGCACTTCAGAAAATTGCCAATTCCATTTAATCAGAGATGACAGAAGGGCAAAAGAAATTAGTGTAATAAAAAACCATATTATTATTATTATTATTATTATTACCACTACTTCTTGCTACTACTTCTAATAATACATTTGGATGCTACTTTTCCTCCAAGGAGATCAAGGTATTATTATTATTTAAATAAATTTGCTAGCTGCTTTACCTTGCCCAAGGCAACCCAAACAACTTACAAACAAACAACACATAGATACATTAAAACCAAGTGTGGGGAAGCCCCCCTGTTTTACACTCAAAACAATCCTGTAAGGTAGGCCAGGCTGAGATTGTCGGTCTCTAATATGACAGTGTGCAATGAATGTAATACAGCAGTTCACACTTTGGGAGCACCTCTCAAATATCTGAGGAGATTCACATGTGTTATCACTCTTCTAAGAAGTGTGCAGAACATGTAGGTGCATCAACCCAGGTTTGTGACCAGCCAAGGGCTTGACAATCCTGTCCCACTGTGCTGTCTAGTTAGAGATAAAAGGAGCTGGGTTTATGGAGCTCCTTGCGGGGACGCCATTCAATTAAAGTAGAAGGAGACAATTGAGAGGGGGGAGGACAAGATTTTCAACAGGGCTTGCTTAAGGATACCTTCAAGATTAATCTGCAAAAGAAGAAAGACAAGGGAAATAAAAGAAAAAGCAGTTTAAAAAGAAATAGAGAAACTCAGTCTTGCGGCAGCATAAAACTGGCTGGCTTAATTAAGCTTTCATCTATATATATGCATATAATAAAAAGGAGGGAGGGTGTTGTAAACACGGGATCTATGAAATGCAAGAAGTAGACAATTTTGCTGAAAGCTAAGATGTATGCAAGTTACAGATGCTTAACCCACAAAAGAGTTTGCAACTGATAATTTATCTTTTGTTATGCTAATTTAACACCTTTGCTATGGGACAAAAAGAAGCCTTACAAGGACAGAAAAAAACGTAGCAGGGCTACAAAGCCTTTGTTCCAGTTAAGCCCTAGATGAGCACAGTCAAACCTGTTGATAATCTAGTCCAGCAGTTTTAACTGGAGTCTCCCTTTGTTGAAGAAGAATAGCCAGTTTCTGATGTCCCAATTTCTGCCCCTTTATCCCTTTGCATGGAGACTGTTATGGCAGGCAATGGCCTACGAAGTCATTTTGTAGCGGGGAAGGGCGGGGGGAGGCCCAGGTGAATGAGCCTCTGATATTAGGAGCTGCAATAGTATTACCAAAGTGGACTGGGGGGTCGGGTGACAATTTATGCATCTGCAACATGTTGGAGAGCTGGTATAGCATAGAGATTGGGGAGCTAGACTAGGAAAAAAGAGAGCGTTGGACTAGGATTTGGGAGGCGAGGGTTCAAATCGTCACTGGGTAACTTTGGGCCAACGCTCATCATGGCCTCAGCAGCAAGAGGAGGAAAGAAGGGTTTGTTCCAGATAACGGGAAGCATTGCAATCTGAAACTGCGAAGGATACCTGCCGACTGGGTGCTTAGTCACTGATGGCCAAGCACAAGACACTCCAATATTGGGGAGGAGAGAGAAGGAGAATCTGCAGGAGGAGGGGAAATGTTTGAAGATAGGTACATGTTTCAGGATGCATACAGTTACGTACTTGGAAATCTCTGGTCATTGCATTCCACAGACTCCTGATCTATTAGGTAAGGGTGGGAGTGGGTGTCACAAAAAAGGCCAAGTTTAGCCTTGAGGTGCTCAGTTCTCTCTCAACGGAGCTCTCTCCCAATGCTGGTGAGTTCTCAAGAAAGGCCCTCGGTCTGTAAATGATTTACCTTTCAGATTTTGTTGTGAGAGGTCTTGCGATATGCTAGCCGAAAGTAAGCTGTACAGGCCCCACTTCAAATATCACTTCAGCGCAACTTGGCAACTTGAAAAAAAAGACAGTGCACGTATTTTTGTAAACTAAGAAATCTTTAATAAAAATATTATATGGATGAATGTATGGATGTTTATCACCTCAGCAAAAGGTTCTGTCTAGGATCTCTTGGCCTCAGTTCCCCATCTGCAAAATAGGAGTATTATGGTTGTATAGCATTCAGGAGGTGTTTTATGTGCTTTTCATTTCCATTATAAACTCCAGTAATTATTATTGTGTCATGGAAGGGGAGACATTCTAGAAAAGCATAAAAAAAATGATGGAGGCAAGGAAATGGTCAGGAGCCTGGCAGTGCAGCCTTTTACACGTCTACTCAAAAGTAAGTCCTGTTCAGTTCAGTGGCCTTAAGGCTTGTGGCCTTAATTGATTAAATTGGTAGATTGATCAATGCACCTTGATTCATCAGTTGGAAACTGATCTGATTAACTGAAGTCTGATTGATGTAGCTTGTTAATCTACTGATCTTAACAATTTAATTAAAAGCTAGTTGGTTCATCAGTGGAAGTCAATCTTAATTGTAGATGCTTATAGCTTTAGGCACTGTTGGTGGGAATGTACTTAATATGGAATGAAAAAAGGAAATATGAAATATGTCTTTTTAAAGTGAATTGATGAACTGGTTAAAATACTGGTGCTTAATCAGCTTAAAATCCTTTTATTGGCCATGCTTTAACATTTAGATGACTCTTAGGGTGCAAGCATATACCCAGTTATCTGGGAGCAAGCCCTATTGAACTTAAGTGAACTTACTTCTGAGAAGACAAGTATAGGATTGTGCTGTTATTCATGGATCTGTATTGGGACTATTGAATCCTGCTGAGTCAAGCACTTCTGTGATCTAAAGAAATGGAAAAATGAATATCTCCCTTATGTAGTATTAGTAGTCGGCTGGCTTTTGGCCTCCCGTTTGACTCCACTTGTTCTGTACATCTGTGGAAGGGAAGGCACTAATATGGATTCAAGGGGCTGAAGTGCAAAATTGCTAAGGCACAGATGTGCAATCTGGAACTGCCTTTCTAGAATGGTACCACTGGGAGAAGCATCTACAAATCACACTTATGAAAGGGATCCAAAGGAGGAACACCACGCTTTCATGAAAATACATTTTCCTTCCTCAACTGTGCAATAAAATTGTGTGTGGTAACATTATTTCCTATTAAAGGCAACATGTCTAGGGGTGAACTATTAAATTGTAAAATAGAAACAAACAAAATGAAAGGCTGCAGTTCTGAGTACACTTGCAAGGGGAGTAAGATCCATTGAGCTCAATGGGACTTACAGCCAAGTTAAAAAAAAAGAGGTAAGGGTTAAAGGACCCCTGGACGGTTAAGTCCAGTCAAAGTACACATCCATTGGATTGTGCTGAAAACTGTTTCTGAGAGGTTAAGAATGTGATTCGAGGACCCGCCACCTGCTTGAGGATAAGAAAGACACATGGACGCAGTATATTAGGTTAATGGGCTAAAAAAGGCCACAACTTTATTGATTACAGCAAGTGAGAGGTATTGGCTTAGGCATTAGATAAAACAGCAGAGCTTGACTTCATCCCCTCAGGAAGGGGTGAGTCTAACAAGGGTTAATCACCAGTAGGAGGAGCCTGTTGATGCAAATACAACTGTAAGCTCCCCCTGATGTCACTGGGGGTCGTGCCATGGCCCTAGCCACCAGCAGGGCATCGGACAGGATCCATGACCGCCGGATTCCTTTAACGGAATAACCATAAAGTGGAGGGGTAGGCGATGGCCACACCCTGCCCTCCCATACACCAACAACATATTCCAATGCCTAACCGCCAATACCTAAAAGTTGTGACGATTTGCTACGAGGTAGGCGAAAAACCAAGTGGCTGGTGCCAATTTGCCAGCTGGATAAAAATTCCTACCAGGTCCCTTGGGCAACCAAGGTCCATAGCAAGGTCAAGCACAAAGCAATGAATTAAAGGGAAGGGTGGCTGGGTGATCCATTGAAACCCGGCAGCGCAATGAGGGGAAGGAGCTGCCGCGGCCGCATTTAAGCGGTTAAACCCCGCCCCTGAGCCTCCCCTCGATTGGTTGGCTGCCCAGGAGCACGGCACGGCAGCAGTGACGGCATGTAGGGGCGGGAACGCCCCCTGCAAAGGCGGGAACGGCTCCCGATCACAGCTCCTCCCCTCTGGGAGGAGAGGCTTTCTGAGAGGTTAAGAATACGCTCATAACAAGTTTACTCAAAGGGGAATTCTATTAAATTGAATTTGTGCCCTGGAAAATGGGTTTAGGATTGCAGCTTGAAATTATTGTAAAATAAAATAAAATGAAGGGTGGAATATTGCACCCTATGCCAACTTATCCACCCCACCCCCCTTTCCAGTATAAAAATAGCAATTTTGTCAAGAGCGAATGGTATCAGTACTCATTTCTTTGGACAGACAGAAATACCAATACTGTACCATCAGCTAATTTCAGGATAAGGGGTGATCTCTTGTGGGGGGAAAGAGAATCAAATCAAAATTAGATGAGGGTCAGAGCATAGAAACCAGGCATCTCAGCATCCTCCCCAATGGCTCATGCAAGCAAGCCAAACAACATTCTTTTCTAGAAAATTTACCTTAAAACGCTCTGTGGTGCAACTAAGGAACAGCTCCATCATTTCCACATCTGTGAGGTCACTCCTAATCTCAACAGCATGGCTAGATCCATGCTTGCAATAACTAATGGAGCTCAGAACACCTAAATCTTATTGAAGGGAAGAACAAGCTGGAATAAGTGCTTTACACACACCAAGGTCCCAAGTTAAGTCTCTGGCATCTTCAGGTAAGGCTGGCTGGGTAAGATTCCAGAGTTTCAGACAAGAGTTGGTGCCCATCTGTGTAGACAATACCGAATTAACTGGACCAGGGTTGCTTCCTATTTTCCCAAAGTCTGAAAGAACCCACACATGTACAGGGAACATTCTCCACGTCTACATTGGCTGCAATTCTTTACACACTTATCTGGAAGCGAATCTCACTGAATTGAACTTCCAAGAAGACATGTAAAATAGACTGCAGTGTTGATAACTTTAATATAGATTACGAAGCATCTCACTGCGCAATTTACTTATCCTGCAGCAGTGTTGATTTGGAAAAGTTAACAAAGCAACCTTCAATGCAACATGTAATCTCGCGATGGAACTGCTTGTGTAGAGGATTGTGATTCAAACAGATTCGACGGTAGCATTTATTATGTGGGCTAGAGTAGGAAGCTAAAAAGCAGAGACATCACCTTGCCAACAAAGGTCTGTATAGATAAAGCTATGGTTTTCCCAGTAGTGATATATGGAAGTGAGAGCTGGACCATGAAGAAGGCTGATCGCCGAAGAATTTATGCTTTTGAATTATGGTGCTGGAGGAGACTCTTGAGAGTCCCATGGACTGCAAGAAGATCAAACCTATCCATTCTTAAGGAAATCAGCCCTGAGTACTCACTGGAAGGACAGATCCTGAAGCTGAGGCTCCAATACTTTGGCCACCTCATGAGAAGAGAAGACTACCTGGAAAAGACCCTGATGTTGGGAAAGATGGAGGGCGCAAGGAGAAGAAGACAAGACGGTTGGACAGTGTTCTCGAAGCTACCAGCATGAGTTTGACCAAACTGCGGGAGGTAGTGGAAGACAGGAGTGCCTGGCGTGCTCTGGTCCATGGGGTCACGAAGAGTCAGACACGACTAAATGACTCAACAACAACAAAGAGGAGGAAGCGGAGAAAGGGAAGCAGAATCCCAACATTTGTGCCAATAAATGCGTCCACATAACAAGCATGTTTCATGAGGTGCATCCATAGACCTATTTCCTAACAGTGGAATCCCTGCATGTGCTTTAATTGTACACAGCCCCCCCCTTCTCTTTCTGTCCCTCAAATATAAACACAGAGCAAGCTCAGTTACTAACAGTTCCCTGCCCTGTAAGAGTATCCCAAATCTCTTACCTGAGATGGCCAGCTTGCTCAGTTGACACAGAAGACAAAAGGACATGATGAGATGTCAGGCTTCCCATTTTGTTGCAGTTCTCCTGTCCCTTTATTTTTTAAGGCTAGCCCAAATAGAAATGTTCATTGGTGATGATATGTAAGTAAAGGCAAAAGGTAAAGGACCCTGGACGGTTAAGTCCAGTCAAAGGCGACTATGGGGTTGTGGCACTCATCTCACTTTCAGGCTGAGAGAACTGGCGGTCGTCCACAGACAGCTTTCTGGGTCATGTGGCCAGCATGACTAAACCGCTTCTGGCACAATGGCGTGATGGAAAGCAGAGCGCATGGAAATGCCGTTTACCTTCCCGCCGCAGCAGTACCTATTTATCTACTCGCACTGGTGTGCTTTCGAACTGCTAGGTTGGCAGGAGCTAGGAAAGAGCAACAGAAGCTCACTCCATCACAGGGAATCGAACCACTGACCTTCTGATTGGCAAACCCAAGAGGCTCTGTGGTTTAGACCACAGTGCCACCCGCGTCCCTGATGTGTAAGTGTGAATGAACCACCACAGATGAAACGTTCAGCTCATATCAGGTCAAGCACCATATTTTTCCGAAGGGGACAGTTCCAGTGGTGTTGTCAGGGTAGGACTTTGAAACTAAGGTCCACAGCTCCACACAGCAAAATGAGTTGTAGCAGAGGCATTCTGTCCCGTTTTGCTACCTGAGGAAACACAGGGACATGTTGCTGTATTGCCATACCCCAAAACCCTTACCTGGGAATCCAAAGAAGTGGCTAAATCACCCTGCCTTGAATAGGAGGCCTCCAGAATGCAGCAGGTTTGGCTTACCACAATTTGTAGTACTACATATTGCCATCTAAAGAGTCCACCAGGTAAGACTCCTAAGTACAGAGGGTAAAATTATCTAACTGCACCATTGGACAGTTGCCCCATGCGGCAGAGAGTCATTACAGCCCTGCAATGAGAGTTCAGACGATGTGTCTGGAATGGGTGACCGAGCCCTAGGATGGATTTTTATACGGTGGTTTTATTTTCAACCTTACCCAATCCATTCTGCCTTGCATA